GAAATACTAAACAGACAGTAGATAAGTGGTATCTTTGGTGAAGGATGAGACAGTACACAATACTGGGGAAGCCAGCACAGCTTGTACAAGCAAAGGTCATGGAAGCTCCATAGACACATCCAAACTCCCTGAGGGACTGAGTTGCTGGGCCAAGGGCTGTGGGGACCATGGTCTCGGGGAACATCTAGCTCAATGGGCATAACACAGTTTATTCAGACAATGTTTTACATTCAACCTTGGTGAGTAGCGTCTGGGGTCTTAAAAGTCTGCGAGCAGCCATCTAAGATACTCCACTGGTCTCACCCCTTCGGGAGCAAGGGAGAATGAAGAGAACAGGATACAAGGAAAAGACCACAGCTACCAAGGCCTCCACTAGACTGAGTCCAGTACAGCTAGACAGCGGCCAGCTACCACCATTCACTGCTCTGAGCGGGATCACAACAGAGGGTTCTGGACAGAGCTGGAGAAGGATGTAGAACAAAATTCTAACACACACAAAAAAGACCAGATTTACTGGCCTGAAAGAGACTGGAGAAACTCCGAGAGTATGGCCCCCAGACACCCTTTTAGCTCAGTGGTGAAGTCACTTCCAAGGTTCACCGTTCAGCCAGGGAGTGGACAGCCCCATAAAACAAAACGGGACTAAAGAGGCGCAGCAGTCCAGGGTCAAGGACTAGAAGGCAGAAGGGGACAGGAAAGCTGGTGATAGGGAACCCCAGGTTGAGTAAGGACAGTGTTGACATGTAGTGGGGTTGTTAACCATTGTCATAGGGTAACATGTATACTAACTGTTTAATGAGAAACTATTTTGTTCTTTAAACCTTCACCTAAAGTGAGAATAACAGCACAGCTGGAAGAACGTAATCGATGTCACTGAATTGTGCATGTAGAAGTTTTTGAAATGGTATATTTTCACCAAAAAAAAAAAAAACGTCGAGAAGGGAGAGGGTTGACATGTGGGGTTGTTAACCAATGTCATAAAACAATATGTGTACTGACTGTTCGGTGAGAAACTATTTGTTCTGTAACCTTTCACCTAAAGTACAATAAAAAAAGAAAAAAAGTGAAAATAGCAACGCAACTGGAAGAACGTAATCGATGTCACTGAATTGTGCATGTAGATATTTTTGAAATGGTGTATCTTTGGCTACGTGTATTTGTACCAAAAAAAAAAAAAGAAAGGTAGAGAAGGGAGAGTGTTGACATGTCATGGGGTTGTTAACCAATGTCATAAAACAATACGTGTACTGACTGTTTAATGAGAAACTATTTATTTTGTAAACCTTCACCTAAAGTATGATAAAAAAAAAAAAAAAAAGAAGGGAGAAAAACTCCACCTTCTGATGAGAGGCGTGTCACTGTCGCGCTATGAGAAGAGCGTGTGAGGTGGGAGATACTGTAGCCAACTTTGGAAAATCCAGTCATTCACAGGGGGTTGAAATGGAGACAAATCAGGATGGAGGCTTCGCCTCAAGGATCGCATAGTTAGAGGTGGACATGGTTGACTCTAATGCCAAATCTCAGGCATGGAGTCATGGCCCTGGGTTCAAATCCCAGCCACTCCAGTTACTGGCTGGGTGGGTGAGGTCACACCATCCTCTGGGCCTCAATTTCCTCCTCGGTAAATGGTGATAGACGTAGTGCCTGCTTCATGGGATGGTTGTGAGAATTCAGTGACACAGAGCAGTAACACAGTGCCAGGCACGTGTAGACACCAGGGCATGACAGTGTGCCGTTACCGCCATTTTTAAGCTCCGGAAAATGCAGGAATGGATCACTGCCAGGGTTACGATGCCCAGGCCTCCCAAGCCCCTCAGTCAGCCCTAGGCATCTCCCTCTGCCCTAAACCTGCCACGAGGGTGTGTGTGTGTTGCGGGGAGGTGTGTGGGGACTAAGGGCCCAGATGAGGAGACTGATGTTTCTGGGCCCCAGCTCCTAACCAGGGGACCCCAGGTGGTCTTTGTTCGTTGGAGAAAGCGCCTAGCTGACCCCTCACCCTTGGGGCAATTGTCCCTTTCTGGGCAGCCAGGGTGGGGCTGGGGTGTGTGCCAGGATGAGCCTGCAATGCGTGGCTTCCAAGGGCTGGGAGGGGAGAGAGGATCCCAGCTTGAAAGGTTCTTCAGTGGGATGGCTGGGAGGTTGGAAGAAGACCAGCTGTCCTCCGGAACTTCCTGGGCCTAGCCCTGGGGGGACTTTGATCAACCCAGCCACTGCCAAAGTTTCTCCCAGGAAGCTCTGGTTTTGTCCAGAGGGTGTGTCTGGCCCTAGCTGGGGCCACCGTTCCTCCGGCCTGGCCTTAGTCATGCAGGGGTGGGACTGGGGGCAGAAGCAGGGCCAAGGAAGGGTGCACGGCCCTCCCACCTTCCTGGGGGCTCCTCTCCTCTCCGAGGAACACAGACCACAGGCCAGCTAAATCCTACTCCAGGCCCCCCTTTCCTTCTTGTCGATAATTGGAATGCTAACCCCATCGCTGTGTGACCTTGGGCAAGTCTTGTTCCCTCTCTGGGTTTTCTCATTTGTAAAATGGGTGAGATTGTTGCTGAGGTAGTTGTTATGGCTCTAGAGGTGATCACAGATGTGAAGCTCTACAAAAAGAAGCAGGCAGGGCAGGTGACGGAGGATTGAGAACCCTCCCCAGGAATGTTGAAATTAACCATAAGGTCTTCTTTGCAGCTGAAGAAAGTAGGTCCTCGTGCCTCATCTAATTCTGTTCATCCCCTTACTTTACGGTTGGAGAAACTGGGGCAGCACCTGTGGGGTTAAGAGTCAGCAAGGCCAGGTTTGATTCCTCTGCTACCACTTACCACTGTGTGCTTTGGGGCAAGTTAGGACAAATCTCTGGGTCTCAGTTTCCTCATTTGCTGAGGGAGGGTGACCAGGACCCCACTCCCTCTCAGGGCAAAACAAGGGGTGTAGCTGAAAAGACTTGCCCAGTCTCCAGAGAAACAGCCTCCAAGACAGACAGCAGACTCCAGACCAAGGGTCTCTACCACGTCTATACATAAGTCACCCAGGGAACTTTCTGCACACTCAATTTAAAAATCCACTAAAGCCCACTGCCGTGGAGTCAATTCCAACCCACAGCGACTCTGTAGGACAGAGTAGAACTGCCCCATAGAGTTTCCAAGGCTGTAAATCTCTAAGGAAGCAGACTGCATCATCTTTCTCCTGAGGAGCAGCTGGTGGGTTTGAACTGGCAATCTTTTGGTTAGCAGGTGAGCGCTTTAACCACTGTACCACCAGGGCTCTATTTAAAAAAAAAAAAACAGTTTTAAAAGCTCCCCAGGTGATTCTAATGTGCAGTCAGTGCTGAGAACCACTCACTGGGCTATCTATATAGTCTAGCTAAGCAAAGTGTGGTCTGTGGTTCTATAGCATCAACATCACTTGGGGCTTAGAAAAGCAGAATCCCAGGCCATTCCCCAGACCTGCTGAGTCCAAACCTGCATGTTAACAAGATCCCCAGATAAGTCAACGCATGTTGCAGTTTCTGTAACTAATTTTACAGTTTGACAAGTACTGGCCTGGGCAGTGGACTCCTGGCTTGGAGCATGAATTTCAGGACAGAGGAGATGATCTGGGAGGACTTGCCTGGTGTGCGGGGACAAGAAGGGAGATTCTGTGATTCCCACCAGAAAGGTGGACATTCTGCCTGCAAAACCATAGGATGGAGGCTGTCTTAGTCATCTAGTGCTGCCATAACAGAAATACCACTAGTGGATGGTTTTAACAAAGAGAAGTTTATTTCCTCACCGTCAAAGTAGGCTAAAAGTCCAAATTCAGGGTGTCAGCTCCAGGGGAAGTCTTTCTTTCTCTTTTGGCCTTCTCATCAGTGTTCCCCTGGACTAGGAGCTTCTCGGCACAGGGACCCCAGTCCAAAGGACGCGCTCTGCTCCCGGCACTGCTTTCTTGATGGTATGAGGTCCCCCTGTCTCACTGCTCACTTCTGTCTTTTATATCTCAAGAGATTGCCTCAGGACACAATCCAGTCTTGCAGATCAGGTCCTGCCTTACTAACACAACTGCCACCCATTCTCCCTCATTAACATCATAGAGGCAGGTTTACAACATACAGGAAAATCACACAGTACCAGGAATCATGGCCCAGACAAACTGATACACAGTTTTTTGGGGGACATAATTCAAACCATGACAGAGGCCAAGTGACAGAGTAGCAAAATGAGCTTATCCCGCCCTTGCAGAGACACGGGTACTTACCAGCCTGATCACATGCTTAGCGAGAAGGTTCATGTGCAGAAGCTGGGGGCGCCATTTTGATTCCATTGCTTACTGGCGTATAGCCTTATCTTTCTTCTAATTTGTTTATGCGTTTTCATGTATATATTCAGACTGAGGCTACTTTTGGGAGGGAGGAGGCAGGGAGACCGGACCCAATTAGTACTGGAAAGAAAAATAATCAAGGCCTCCAAGTAGACCGGTGGCAGGAGAAGTTTCCTAATAAAATGGACGAGGTGATTTCGTGCCAACTTGAGGTGGGCCCAGCTACTCTGCAGTGCTGTAAACTCTGTGGTTTATTTCAGGACAGCGGCTGAAATGCTCTTGGAGTGAATTTGGGCAGAGCTGAAGGGAAAGTAAAATGAATAAACAGCAAAGAATGAAAATACTGTGTGTGCCTTTCCCTGGTCTGGTGCTTCTGGCTGGTGCTGTTTGTTCCTCAGCCATGACTCCCCTGGTGGAGGCATCTTGTGGCTTTAAGGGCCTCGTCCCCCAGTCTTGGGCAAGAGGAGGAGGTACCACAACCTCCATCGGTGCGAAGGCACACACTGAGGGCTCAAGGTCACCTTGGCATCATGCTCCAGGAAGGGAAGACAGAATTTTGGACCCAGACTTTCCGGGTAAACGTCTTGGATCCTCTGCTGCCCACCCCCGCTATGTCCAGGCTGATGACCCCACTCATTGCGAGCTGTGCCCCAACTCTGGCACGATAAGTGTGTCCCTGGACCGGGTCCCTGCATTTGGTCAAAGGACTTTCTCCTCAAGCTTGGTGGGGGGCCGGGGACAACGTGCAGGGTGGCATAGGTCAAGGCCGAGCCATCCAGGCAGAGCAACTAGTAAGCCAGAACATCCCAGGCTCCAGGGCCAGGTGTGAACAGCTCCTAGGATCACTTCCTAACTTCCTTCTGGATCCCGAGGTGAGGGAAGTTATCTCAGGAATTGCCAATGGGCTAGCCTGCCCTCCAGTGATGCTTAGTGGTAACTGCATTCTCCCAGGCCTGCTTTTCACAATGGTGCGCAGCTCTGGAGTAAGGCTCTCCTGAGAGTAACTGGCTTAATTGTCTGCCCAGTGGCAGGTGAGGGAAAGGGGGTACTGTTCTCCTGCCATTTCAAACATCTTCCCACATCAAAAGATATTCAACCCGAAAAGGGGAAGGGAAGTAGAATGTAAGGAGTAACTGCTTCATACCAGATACCCTGAATGCTCCAGCAGTCCTGTGTGTAGCTGTTACTAACCCATGCACAGAAACAGTTCCTGCTTGTAAGGACGGGTAGTAAGGGGGCCGTCACATTTCATTCTACACCTGTCTGACTTCTAAAACCACGTTCCTAACATGCCACAGGCCGGTAGAAACCCTTTAGGCCAGGATTTTGCAGGCTCCCACAAGGGCCAGGCAAGAGGCTAAAAGAGGGAAGCAGTAGGGGCACTACAATAGGGAGTAGTGGGGTCTGTGGCAAACTGAGGGATGTGGCTCTGTGTGTGCAGTCATTATGCAACTCCAGTGGGTTACTGTCTGGTGGGAATACTGAACTCACACTAAAGAGAAGCTGAAGATTTGGATTTTTATGTAAAAGCTCCCAATTTTTAACATCAACAATTAATTCAGGCAAGAGTTTAAACACTATGCAAGACAAACACAAAATGTTTCAAATGCTTCTGAGCTTCTATAACACACTTATGTTGCAGGTGAGGTCCAGAGAGAGGAGGGGACTTGCCCACAATCACAGGATCATATGGAGACAGGGTTAGTGCTTGAATCCTGTCTCCTGACTCCCAGGCCAGTGCTCCTCTCAGCCCACTCTCCACGGTCTGTCCTGCTCTCCAGTCGTGGGGCAGAGGGTGGACCCTTCCTACCTCAGTGGAGGTGGCAGAAAACATCAGGCTCAGACTAGAGGCTGAGAGATCATCCACATTTATTAGTTGAACTTGGCCGAGAGTGTAGCAGGGCCATCCCTGGTCCCTCTCGGAAGTAACAAGAACACTGTGCAACATATGCAGCCCCTAGGGGCCTCCTGGATCCTGCTGGACCCAGCAGTCTTGCCTGATTGCCTTGGCAGTGCCCACCCCCTGGAATCCTAGACCTGGGTTCATCCCTCACACAAGACAGACCATGCCGCCTGTCCATTGCCAAGGTCAGGCTGGCTCTACCTGGACCTGGGCCCAAAGTCCTGGGAAGCCAGCATTTAAGGGGGACATCCAGTGTACAGATGGGGAAGCTGAGGCTGGAGGCAGGAAGAGGATCATCCAGAAGCCTTGTGGCTGAGCCTCGGTTAGGCCCGGAGCCTTGGCCTTGGGGCTGCCGGGCTGGTCAGTGCTTGGACACCTCCCCCTCCCAGCCCTAGGAGGAAGAATTTCCATGGTTCAGCTGCTCTGGAAACGCAATCTATAAATACATACTTGGTTTCTAAAAAAAGTTACAAATCAGTAACTGTCTGTAAATACATACTTGTTTTTTTTTTAAAAAGCAATAAATTAGTAAATTGGACCAGCCTGAGAGCATCTGGCCAGCCATGTGTCATATGACATGGACATTTTCCATGTGTCATGTTGTTGCCTACTGCTGGGTCATTCCTCACTCATAGCAACCCTATAGGACAGAGTAGAACTGCCCCATAGGGTTTCCTAGGCTATAATCTTTATGAAAGCAGACTGCCACATCTTTCTCGCACAGAGCGGCTGATGGGTTCCAACTGTCGACTTTCACTTAGCAGCCAAGTGCTTAACCACTGAGCCACCAGGGTTCCTTATGTGTCATGTATGCAACACCAATCATGTGTCCTCCCATGTATGGTACTAGTACCCATGACATTGGCCACATGTGTCACACGTGTTCTATGCTATGTGCCACAATGTAAGTCCCATGTATAGCCACATGTCAAGAGGTCATACTCCACCACATGTGACCCTCAGTGTCATGCATCGCATTATGGCACCTTCATCATGCCACCTGTTCCCAACTGGTAACACATATCCATGTGATATGGGACACTTTTTTGCCCATACAACGCTCCTGGTCTCCAAAAAATGCTTCCTGAGGGCTGCGGCAGGACAAATACGCCCCTCCCTCTTGGGGCAAGTGCAGGGGCACCCAGTTGAGGGTCTTTCTGAGCCATCTGCCCTGTTGCACGGGAGTTGACATTACTTGGCTGGATCCTGAGAGTTTTGAGAGGGCCATCAAGTACTCTGAGGGGTCTGGGGCTTGTCTTCGAAGAAGGCAAAGTCCAGCCTGGGCTCCTGGCTCTGCAGATGCTGGGCCATGTCAGGAGGGATGCAGTTATTCCAGAGGCTGCAGGGGCACAGAGACAGACACTCAGCACCGGGAGCCACTCACTCATCCCCTTGTCTCTGTCCTGTGTCCCATCTACAGGTGAGGAGACTGAGGCCTGGGGTGAAGAGCTGTGCCAGAGTTACTGGCAGAAGCAGGTATTGGGCCAGCATGGCTTCCCTAGGGAGATGATGTCGCCCACACCCACCTCCAGGCTTCTCCTACTCAGTCTTCTCCTCCAGGAGCTAATAATCCCAGCAGTTCATGCTAATATAACACACTTGTGCAAATAAGGAAAAGGCTCCCCTTCTTTAAAACACTTTACGTGCATCTGTTCAAAAGGTGTCATGATAAAACGGTTTTGATAGCATAAGACACTTTACTACCATTTACTATAAATCTATTGTGTCTACGATGTGAATGGTGCCCCCTTAGATACAATGCCCTTGTGCACTGCACAACCTATATGGATGTATGTGGTGGTCCCGATTATAGCTAAAATTTTAAGTGCTTACTATGTGTCAGGTATTGGGCTTGGTGCTTGTTATGGACTGAACCGTGTCCCCCCAAAATATGTGTTGTAAATCCTAACCTCTAGCCTGTGGTTATAACCTCATTTGGGAATGGGTTGTCTTTGTTATGTTAATGAGACAGGATTAGTGTAGGGTGTATCTTGAGTGGATCTCTTTTGTGATAAAAAAGAGATTAAACCCAAGCTAGCAAGAAGAGATGGGGGAAGAGAGATTCCAAGCCACATGAAGACTGCCCATGAGCAAAAGCTCAGAAGACGTCAGGACCTTCTCCGAGCCAACAGAGAGAGAAAGCCTTCCCCTAGAGCTGGCACCCTGAATTCAGACTTCTAGCCTCCTGAACTGTGAGAAAATAAATTTCTGCTTGTTAAAGCCACCCATTTATGGTATTTCTGTTATAGCAGCACTAGGTAACTAAGATAGAATTTGGTGCCGGAAGAGAGGAGTGCTGCTCTAACAGATAGCTAAAATGTGGAAGTGGTTTTGGAACTGGGTAATGAGTAGAGACTAGAAGAGTTTTAAGGTGCCTAATAGTAAAAGTGCCTTGAAGAGACTGTTGTTAGAATTATGGATGTCAAAGGCAATTCTGATGAGGGCTTAGAAGGAATGAGGAGAGCTACAGAGAAAGTCTCTATCATCTTAGAGAATACATACGGCACCAGCAACAGAATGTTGCTAGAAAAGTGGACATTAAATGTGATTCTGGTGAGGCTTTAAAAGACACTGATGAACATGTGATTGGACAATGGAGGAAGGGTGATGCTTTTTATGCAGTGGCAAAGAACTTGTCTGAATTATGTTCAAATGTTTGGTGGAAGGTAGAACTTGTAAGTAATGAACCTGGATATCTGGTTGATGAGATTTCTAAGCAAAGTCTTAAAGGGGCCATGTGGTTCCTTCTTGCAGCTTATAGTAAAATGCGAGAGGATAGAGATGGACTTAAAAATGAACTGTGCAAAATGAAAACAGTACATGTGTCCTAGAATTTTCACCAAGGACTTGGTTACACAATCTTTTGTTAAAGAGATTAAGCCTGTGACTCACGGATCTAACCAACTACCACAGCAGAAAACTCATCAGCTTAGACTGAAGGGGTCAGAGACAAGACAAAAAGAAAGAAAACTATTTGCCTCTTGGAATTCTACAGGCAGGAAATAGGTCAAAGGAGCTACATCTGTTGTCCTTTAAGAAAAGAAAAGGACCATTCCTGGAGCAGCTCAGAGATTAGCAGAACTGTTGGAAGGAGCACGGGAAGCAGGGCCTTCTCGGTTTGAAAGGATGGGACCATGGTCTCATGGCTCTCAAAGGGTGGGGCCACAGCCTCCTAGGTTTTAATGAGTCAAATCTTCACCAACTTGGTTCCGGAGTGTGGGGCCGCTGCCCAAAGATGAAGGGGCGGGGCTACCACGCCTGAGGGGCAAAAGAACGGGGCCGAGGGAGTGGGGTTGCTATTTATATGGACTGGAGAATGGGGCTGTCTAAAGACAAGGGAGCAGAGTTGCCATCCCAGAGGGACTGAAAGGCAGAGCTGAAGCCCAGCGCCAAGGGACCTCTACCCAGAGTCTGGAGGGTAGGGCCATTGCACGGACTGTCTTGGGGAACAGAGGATTTTTCCAGCCATGAGAGCTAATATAAATTGTTCTGCTGGGTTTTGGACTTGTTTGGTGCCCGTTATCCCTTCTGTCCCTCCATTTTCTCCCATTTGTAATGGAAATGTCTACCTTGTGCCTGTTCCACCATTGCATTTTGGAAGGGATAACCTGTACTCTAGATTTCACGGGTTCACAGATGAAAAGGAATTTTGCACCAGGGTGGAATATGCCTGACGTCTCACCCATGTTGGATTTACATGATTCAGAAGATGAGATTTTGGACTCGGAGTTGATTTAAGACTTTCGAGATGATGTGATGAGGTGAATGTGTTTTGCATGTGGCAAGAACATGAATTTTGAGGGGCTAAAGGGTGGAATGTTATGGATTGAACTGTGTCCCTCCAAAGTATGTATTGTAAATTCTAACTTCTATGCCTATGTTATAATCCCATTTAGGAATGAGTTGTCTATGTTATGTTAATGAGACAGGATTAGTGTAGGGTGTATCTTGAGTCAATCTCTTTTGGAGCAAAAAAGAGATTAAACACAAGCTAGCAAATAGAGATGGGGGAAGAGAGATGCCAAGCCACATGAAGATTTTCCAGGAGCAGAAGCTCAGAAGAGACAACGACTTCCTCCAGAGCTGACACAGAGAGAAAGCTTTCACTTAGAGCTGGCACCCTGAATTCGGACTTCTAGCCTCCTGAACTGTGAGAAAATAAACTTCTGTTTGTTAGAGCCACACCCATTATGATACTCCTGTTATAGCAGCATTAGACAGTGCTGTACATGCTCTGTACCCTCTGAAATAGATACTATCATCATCTCCATTTTACAGATGAGGAAATCGAAGTTCAGAGAGGTCGAGCTACTCTTGCAAAGTTACACAATTGGCAAATGGCAGAGCTGGGATTTGACCCAGGTCTGCTTGCTGCCAAATTCTTGTTGGAGTGGGTCAAGTCTCCTTTGAAAATTCCCAGCTTAGGTCCTGCTTCTTCCTACAGGGAGTTCCCTTAGATTGTGGGGGTTGGCGTGGCCAATCCTACAGGGAGTCCCTTTAGATTGTGGGGGTTGGCATGGCCACCTGCCCACCATCCCTGCACCTGCAAGCCCCTGTTACCGGATGACTTGAATGCCAGGCCCCTGGGCCAGCCCTTCAACCAGGTGCCGAGCTCCACAGGCTGTGATCCAATTCTTCTCCAGGCTTCCCAGTGGACAGCAGAGGTAGGGGAAAGAAAGAGACTGGCATGAGGCTGGGGGAGGGGGATTCTCTGGGTCCCTTCCCCAGGTCAAGATGTGGGGACACAGGCTCCCCCACTACCTTTTCAGAGGACCCCCCAGACAATAGTGGACTCACGGTAGGTGCAGCAGGAGGGCTGAAGTCTAGACCCCAGTGAGAACTAAGCTTGGCAGGGGCTTGGAGCTGGCCAGAGTGCACTACTCAAGAAGGTCTTCCTGGGGGGGCTTTCCCCAGGATGCAGGGCCCCCCCATCAGCCCTCCCGCCCCCTCTGGCTTCCCAGGATGTGCCCAGCATACTCCACTCTCTTCAGCCGACCCATTCGCGGCAGGACTCGGGCCAGCTCAGCAGCTGCCTCGTCCTCAAGGAGATTCCAGGACAGCCTGCAGGATGGGAGTCCCAAGGTCAGCGGCAGGAGGAGCGGTGAGGGGTGGAGACAAGGCAGCGAGGTGGGGGTGGGGGGATCTGGGGGCTAACGGAGAGGGGAGCATGCAGGCACAAGAGGGACTTCCAGATGGGGTCCTCATATGTCCTCTCCCTAAGACTTTCCGGGGAACAGGTGGCTCCTTCCCTTCCCTCCCTCCTTCCCTAGCCAGTCCTCCCTCAAGAACCTAGACAGCTTAGGAGCTGCCTGTGTCCCCAGGATTCCAAGCTTGGTCTGGAGTTCAGGACATATGGTCCACAGAAACAATGCCATCATCAAACTTCCACCAAGCACGTGCCGTCATCGCAACGTTGGCCACATCTGTCCATCTCCTATACTATTATTTTCTTTTTCTTTTTCTTTAAATTGACTCCCCTGCCCCACTTTTTTTTATTTTAAGAAATTAATCTTAGAAGGAAATATTTATTACTACTATCTATGGAAACCTTACTCTAAAGACCCTAAATGGGATACTCACAAGGATAAATACAATGTAAACAACAGTATGAACTTCTAACTGGAACCTAAGCCACTTCCTAAGGTGCTTAGCCTGTGGCCTGCTGTTTGTTAAAAAGGGTGAATCACCCATGTTAGGTGTTAAAGACAAGTTAGCACCAATCTGAGACTCTCCGAGGTAGCACTGTCCAGTTCCAAGTTCTGAGTGCCTCTGATGCCAAGAGGGAGCTGGGCACAGCCAGGGGGGCAGGTGTGGTTCCTGCTGGCTTCTGTCCCTCTTCACTACAAAGAGGTGGTTCAAAAACCAGGCTCCATAAACGAGGCAAGGCAGTCTATCCAGTCACCTCCCAAAGGGAAGGCCAGGGACACAGAGCCCTTAGAGGCTGCCTGGCTCCCCTCCCCTCCCACCCACCCCACAGATGGGGAAACAGGCCGAGAGGGGCTGAATGGCTTTGCCCAACGTCGCCTGCAGCTCAGGTGTTCCACCTACCTTAGAGGAGGTTTGGGCAAGAATGATCTTCCCCACTTAGAGGTGGGGTGACTGGCCTAAGAGGAAGGGACCAGCTCCCGGCCACACTGTGAGCTGGGGCCAACTTCCCAGATGCCCCTCTTCCCAGCTCAGGGCCCTTCCAAGCACTTACAGGATTTCTTCCAGGGCTGGGCAGAGCACGAGGCTAGCAGCGAGGGACTTGGCCGTCTGGCTGTCAATCTCACATGAAATCAGGCTGGGGACAGAGATGGGGACTGAATGGAGAGCATCTGAGTCGGGGGCACCACTAGCCAGTACCCTGTTTCCCACCCTGCAATCTGGGCAGGAGGGGCCCAAGCAGCAGGTCTGGGCAGGAATCTTAGGAAAGTGCCCCCTTTCTGCCGCTGTCTCCCCCCCACCCCTGAGGCCTCTGTCATTTCAAAGGTGTCCCCAGGTGTCAGGCTTGGCCACACCAAGGCTGCCCCCTCCCACCCCAAGATGAGGAGGCACTGGGTCCCCAGGCTGTTGGGGAAGCTACTTACTTGATCCGTCTGAGCAGCGGGAGCCCCTCAGAGAACTGTGGGAGCCCTCCAGCCAGGCTGTTCTCTGCCAAGCTGCAGGATTGGGGAGGCACCAGTGAGGGGAAACCCCAGACCTTTGCCAGCCTGTCCTCTGCCCAGTCTCTGTGGCCCTACTCACCTGATCTCTATCACCTGTGGACATCCGTCCAGGGCCCGGCCAAGGCTCAGCGCCCCCTCTGGGCCCAGGCGGCTGGAGGGCAGGCTGGGGAAAGGGGAGCAGGTGAGAGGAGCCTGGGGGACCAGGTATGGGGCGGGGGGGCCTCCCAGATCCCCCACCCTCAGTTTTATCTCAGGCTTTACCCTCCGACTTTAGGTGGTCTCTGGGCAAAGCCAGCACAGGTGAGGGGAACTCCACCCCAAGTCCCCTCCCTACCCACACGGGACCCGGGTGGGTATCAAGGGCCCTGGCTCTGGGGTCTGAGGTCTCAAGTTCAAGGCCTGGTTCCTTCATGTTAACACAGGAAGGTAAGCTCTCAACAGGTCTCTGAGCCTTAGTGTCCTTCCCTGGAAAATGGAACGAATAGAAATCCTGGTCCCACAGGGCTGCTGTGAAGCTCAAATGAGACCATGGATGTAAACCATAAAGTGCTGGGCCATGCTTCTTGACGCTTTTCTCCCTCACAGCCCTTTGCTGACATTTCCTCATTCACCCCCTGAGACTGGCTCACAGACAGACTGAGAGGGTACTGCTGCATTTTACAAATGGTGGAACTGAGGCTCAGAAGGGGCAGGGGCTTAGCCAAGGACACACAGGGAGTCGGCGGCAGAGCCAGGATGAGGCCAGGTCTCCTGACTCCCAGGCCAGTGCCCTTGCCTCTGGGAGAGGGGCAGCCAGCCCCAGGACACGCCACAGTTTGACTAAGGCAGGTCCAGCTCAGTTGATCGGGGTTTTGAGCTGGTGGGGGTGCAGCTCTGCATGCACTGTGGGCAGGGGGACACTCACCGCAGGACCCTCAGCTGTGGGGGCAGCCCACAAGCTAGCACCTGGGCTGTGGGATCCCCCAGGGCATTGTACCCAAGCCTGGAAGAGGAGGCAGTGAGTAATGAGCCCTGGGTTGTCCGATCAGGACCCCTGCCCTGTGCCCACAGGGGAGAGGAGGGCCAGGGGGCCTGCAGGGCACAGGGGCAGAAGGCAGACCACCCGGGCAGACACTCACCTCAGGTCCTCCAGGCGCCTGCAGAAGCTGAGAGAATTGGCCAACTGCACTCCCCCCACTGGGCTGATGCCGTTAGCTGTGAGGCTGAGGGAGGGGTGGACATCAGACCCTTGGCACCCCCACCCCTACCACACCTGCTGGGACTGCCACCCCAGCTGCAGGGGCCCTAAGAAACAAACCCCACCGCATCTTCACAGCCTGATGGGGCACCAAGGCCAAAGAGGAGCAGGGGCTGGGCTGGCTAAGGTCCCATAGTCAGCCAGACAGGGGCAGGGCCAGCAGGTCACCCAGCCCCACTGCCTGGACACTGGGGGCTGGGGAAGGGAGGAGTTTCCACTGCCAGCCTGAGCCAGGGGGCTGGTGGCTCCCAGGACCCTATGTGGCCAGTGTGAGCCCCCATCAGTAAGGCTGGAACTCACTCTAGCTTCCTGAGCTCAGGCAGCCCCGGCAGGACAGCAGCTAAGAGCTGGGCACCAGCATCTCCGAGCTGATTGTGGCTTAAGCTTGGGGAGAGAATAGTAGGAGAATGAGGACCATCAGCCTGCCACCCACCCCATCTTGCCCACCCTCGCACCCCAAACAGAAGGTGTGGATACATTGTGTCCTCCCAAAATATGCGTTGAAATCCTGGTCCCTGTGCCTGTGATCCTGCTTGGAAACAGGGTTTTCTTTTGTTATGTTAATGAGGTCATTCCAGGGGAAAGTGGGTTCTGAATCTAATCACTTCTGAGTTACTAAAAGACCAAATTAGACACACACACACACACACACACACACACACACACACACACGGGAGAAGACAGACACCATGTGAGGATCATCTACAAGCTAAGGAACGCCAAGGAACACCCAGGGTTACCCACATGGAAGGAATTGACAAGGTCGAGACTCTGATTGAGACTTTTAGCCTCTAGAACTGTGAGAAAATAAATTTCTGTTCTTTTAAAGCCACCTATTTATGGGATTTGTGTTACAGCAGCACTAGGTAACTAAGACTGAAGGGAGGTGCTGAGGGCCAGAGAAAGGCCTCAGCTCACACTGAGACAGTTCCATCACCCTATCTTAGGGGAAGACTCCCAACTCTTGTCTTCTGTTTAGGAGGTTCTCCCTGAAGTCTGACCTAAATCCCTCTTGCTGCAACCAACACTCGCACATCTTGTCTTGGGTCCCAAGGTCCCAGGCCCGGGGTTTCGCACAGTGTGGAAGTGGGTGTGGAGGGGGAATGAGACTAAGAAGACAACAGTGCGCTCAAGTGCCCTTGCTTTTGTCACCTCTCTCTCCCTCCACCCTGCCAAAGTTGTCTTGGGTCTAGGGGAGGGGCAGACTACTCACTCCAGTTCCTGCAAGCTGGTGGCATCTCGGAGAGTTTCAGAAAGTTGGCAGCAGTCATCAATGCCGTTCCCGCTCAGGCTGGAGAAGTGGGGAACAGGTCAAGGGGCTTGAGTCAGGAGTTTCGAGGCCATTGCAGGGGCTGTGCTAAGAACTCTACAGTTTGCAAAGCCTTTTCACATTCAGGAACTCAGGTGCCAGTCACAAAAATTTGGAGGGGGTAAAGGGGGAGGAATGGTGAGCGGGAAGAGAATGACTGTCCCCAATGTCCAGGTGAGAAAACCGAGGCCTACAGAGGAGCTGTGACTGGCCAGGTAGAGACGAAAGCCCAGAGTCCCTGGCCTGCAAGCAGGCCAAGTCGCCAGATGCTAAGGACAGTCTCCACACTGTTTGGTTTGGCCAGGCTTTGCCTCAGCCTCTGTGTTGGGGATCTGTCAGGCCAGCCCGAAGGAATGCCAACGTCATACGAATGCCACAACTCAGGCAAATCATTTCTCTGGGGCTCCCAGTGTTCTCCTCTGTGCACACGGTGGGCTTTTCCTTAAACCCAGTTCATCGTCTTCTCTGTGCCTTACTTTACCCTGCCTTTGTGAGTGGGGAAAAACACAACACAAAACAGAAAAGTGGAGGCATACTGTCTTAGCCTCACGGCAAAGTATTTGTCAGAGGGTTGTTTTTGCAAATCAAATTCCTGAACTGCCTTTCTGTAAACTGATTCTAGGAGAAACGACCACATGACCCGGTCCCCTGGGATCGGCCCCTCACCCCAGCCCCCCAGTCTCTGACCTCGTTTCCTAACCACTCTACTCTACCAGAGTGGGGTGGGGGCTTGGAAGAAAACAAAGCAATGCTTTGTGTCATTGATTGAATTTGCTTTTAGCCATAATATTTCATATTTTTAAAAATCACGTTAAAAACAGGGTGTGATATTTGTTTATCAAAGTGGGCAGGGATTGAAAAATCGCAAGGCCACCAGATCTGAGTCTACACCTTTAAGGACCTTCAAAGAGTGGTCTGTGGCCCCCAGAATCGGTATCATCTGAGAGTTGGATAGAAATGCAGAATCTGGGCAACCCAGGCCTGCAGAATTAGAATCAGCATTTGAGTCCTGTCCACATTAAGGCTTGAACAAGAGTTAATCTAGGACTTGGGCCCCACCCCGTCAGGTCACTTTTGTAGTCAGAACGAAGCTGGTGGCATTGGAAGGCAAGAACAGTGGGCACCGACCCGGGAGGGCCCAGAAACGCCCCAGGAGAGGAGGGCCCTCAGGGAGGTGCCCTGATGCTTCTCTGGGTGGTGGTCCCAGGAGAGCCAAGACCACCACCCAGAGAAATGTAGCCTCCACTGGTACCCCTGGGGTCCCTCGGTTACTCACGTGAGCCTCTGCAGGAAGGCCATGTGGCTTAGTCCTCTAGTGAGCATGTCCAGGGACCAGCCGCCCAGCGGAAGGTGGCTAAGGCTAGAGGAGAGGAGGCCAGGTGAGGACCTGGAGTTGCTGGGGTTGGGTCCCAGGTGCATACTGAGGCCCTTTCCTATCTAGGGGCTTGTAGTCTCTGTGGTTAACAACGCCCAGGTCCTCGAAGACAGCCACTTACATCCACACAGTGTAAAAACTGTACAAAACAAAACTGTGCTGGGAAATCCAACTGGTATCTCCCCATATGAATTAGCAGTTCTGTGTTCTGAATCATAGCTCGACCTAGACTAACAACCACATATTGAGCACATACTGTGGGCCCGGCACTGGGCTCAGGGCCGTCTTCAAAGGTGGGTCTGTTATTCCCATTTTACAGATGAGGAACACTGTGGCTCAGAGAGTTGGGAAACTTGCTCAAGGTCACACACAGAAAGCGGTAGACTCAGGATCAGAACTCAAGGCTGTAGACCCCCATTCCTGGGCCTCGACCACATGTTACCCATGAAATCACCCTCCTTAAGGTTCCCAGCCTAGGCGGGAGAAGGCAATAATAACGATAATAGCTCGATTCTGAGCACTTACCAGGTATTATCTCATTTAATTCTCACAACCACCCCAGGAGATAAGCTGAGACAGAAGCACAGAGAGGTTAAGGAACTTGCCCAAGCTCACCTGTTAACAAGGAGCACCTAGAGATAACCAACTATCCTGGCCTTCCTAGAACTGAGGGGCTTTCTAGGACACGGGACTTTCTAGTGCTAAAACTGGGACAGTTGGCCACCATACCAAGAGTTGAACCCAGGTAGTGTGGCTTGTAACCAAGGTCCATGCCCTAACCATTTCACTGCAGGTGGACAGGTGGAAGAAGGCCGACAGGACCTGCAGCTCCTGGCCTTGGCCCAGGTGTACAACTCAATATATATTCCTCAAATGCATGGATGAGCCCATGAATGACTCACTGGGCCTCCAAATCCCCAAATAAAAGCTTCCAGAAGGAAAGGAAGTTGAGCCGAGATGCAGGCAGATAGGAGACCAAAGAAACAGCTGAAGCCAGAACTCCTCCCTAGGACAAGCAAATAGGGACAAAGTGGGAGGATTTCAGTGTTAAGGGGCAAAACCCCTAAAGATCTATATTTAAAACTGTATTAAAAACATATGTAGAAAAAAAATCTGGAGAAAAATTCACCCAAATATTCCCGCAAGTTTTCTCAGGGGGGGGTCTCATCACCATGGGATTTCACGTCCGTTGTTAAATATTTCTGTAATGACGGAACTTTTTATAGCCAGTGTGCATTCCTGGTCATCAGAAACACTTAAGGATTAAAAGAGGAAAATGCCCTGTTAATTTGCTTGCCTAGAGACTTGTTTCAACAGGGGTCTGTGCAGGATGGGACCTGTCCTGTAGGCTGAGGCTATTTCTGGTGTTTCTAAGATTTTGATGACTCCAAATTATGGGTAAGAATAAAAGTTGCTGATTACTAAGGAAACAATTGTAGGCAAATGACACATGCGGTGGACATCTGTGGGGGTTTTCTTTCTGCCAGAGTTTATGCGCTCTTCTTCTGTGAATAAAAAGAAATCAGTTGCCACTGAGCCAATTCTGACTCCTGGTGACCCCATGAGGAGAACTGTGCTCCATAGGGCTTTCAATGGCTGATATTTTGGAGGTAGATCGCCAGGACTTTTTACCAAGGTGCCTCTGGATTGACTTGAATCTCCAACCTTCCGGTTAGCAGCCGAGCGCATTGATCGTTTGCACCACCTGGCACCCCTCTTCTGTTAATAGCACTCTGAAATATCACCTCACTAAATCCAGATAATTGAGTGAGTATGTGACTCAGGTCTGGCCAGTCTGAAGATTCATCAACCACAATGACTGATTTTGGGATGGACACATGACCCCCGCTAGTCTAGTGAAATTCAATCTAGGACCTTTGGTTATAAGGGCCAGAGAAAGGTGCTCCCTTTCCACTGAGATGGTAGAAAGTAAGCCTGCTGCTACGGGGAGTGCCTGTCTGCAAATGAAGACCAGATTAGATAGACAGATAGATAGATAGAGAGTAAAAAGCAAACAAAATGAAAACAAACCCGTTGCCATGGAGTCGATTCTGACTCATAGCGACCCGATAGGACAGAGTTCAACTGCCTCATAGGGTTTCCACGTAGTAGCTAGTGGATTTGAACTACTGACTTTTTGGTTAGCAGCCAAGCTATTAACCACTGTTCCATCAGGGCTTAGTGTAGAGTGTGGAGTAGGGCCTGACAAATGCTGAGTCCCTTGATCCAGCTATGCCTGAAGTCAGATCCCTTGTAATTTTCCATGACCTGAGCCAATAAATTCCTGGCTTGGGCCAGTTTGAGTTGGGAATTCTCTTTCCTGAGACCAAGCATCTTGCTGGCTATCAGAACCAGATAAGGAAGTAAAGGTCCTTGGGAGGGCATTCAGCTCACCCAGGTCCATCCAGGGACTTGACAGCTTGTGTTCACAAGAGGTGAAAGTTCCTAGGCTCCCTCTCCACTGTCCTGCCCCCAACATCACCACCATCACCATCACTTACTCAAGCTCCTTTAGCCTGCACTTCTCCTCAAAGGTCCCCATCAGCTCCTTGTCGAACCGATTGTTAGACAAGCTGGAGGGAACCAAGCACAACAAGAAGGCTAGACAAGCTTGCCCAGCCCCTGGTGCTGAGCTGTCTTGTCAGGCTTCCTAGCCCTGCACCATTCCCCAGGCGGCTGACTCTGGGTCTGCAGATCCTAGACCACCCTTCCTGCCCAGGCTCCATGGTGGCATTCCTGGCCCCAAAGGTCAGGCTCTGGGGTCTTTGCAGGAAGACAGGCAGAGCAGTCACAGGAGACCCAGCCCCTGGGTTCTGGAATGAGGACTACAGAAGAGGAAGCTGGGAATGAAGATAACATGCGTGCAGGCACACAGTTATCCCTTCCACCCCTTAGCCCTCTCTGCACCTCAGCACCCATAGGTGCCCTAGGCAGAGCAAGGGTTATGAGCTCCATGTTACAGATGAGGGGATCAAAGCCCGAAGAAGATTTGTTCCTTGCCCAGGTTCACTCTATGAGTCAGTGGCAAAGTTGGGATCAAGAACACAGGGCTCAGCCCTCCCCAGGCCACATCCAGACTAGTTGGACTTGAGTGGGAAGAAAAGTAATGGGTTGAAGTCTCACTGTCCAACTTACCCAAAGGTCAACTGCCCTCTCCACCCCTTGCCCAGCCCTGGACCACCCCTCCCCTGGCCCCTCAACCCTGTGACTCACTCCAGCTCTTCTAGGTTGTGACAGTGGCTCAGGCCAGACGTCAGCTGGGAGAGGGCCTTGATGCTCATACAACTGGAGGTTAGCCTGGTGGGGTCAAAGAGCAGCAGGTCAGGAAGGAGCTCTGAATGCTGGCACAGAGGGCAAGGACACAGGGCAGGGGTGTGGTTCCTGAGGGGTACTGGGCAGAGGTCCTCCTTCTCTCCATAAATCTCTAGCGCCATGAAATCATTAGGTCAAGATATAGCTTGGAGGCAGGAGCATGGACGAGTTGAACATTTCCCTAAAACACAATTGTTCAGGTAGAACCTTCACGATTTCTGCCGTAGTTGGATATTATGATAGGGTCATTTAACTTATCATAAATAGAGGTTGAATAAAGAGAATTACAACGAAAACAAAATGTTTTTAAAGTCTAGCCAGTTACTCTTGTTTGCTACAAGATTTGCATCTTTATTTAAAAAAAAAATAGCAAATATTGTAGAGGAATTAAAGACATATTGGCACCAAAAGGAGACTTTCTTCCTTTTGTTTTGTAGAAGACATTCTTCTTGATGTCATCAGTTGGACTGAAAGATAATTGAAAGTTAGAAAAGCTCCATTTTGCAGCCATTGTACTGATAATTGATTCAGGCAAGAATCATCAACGGATGCTAAAATTCCTGGGTGAAACCTTGAGGAGGATCAGGATATTTACATAGTCTCAAAGTATCACCCCACAGGATACTTACTAATTATTAAGGGAAAAATAGTAATTTTGCAAGGGAAGAAACCTGGCAGGCATCCCGTTAACCAGGTGACCACAGGTAACATTGCCAGTAGGGGGACAAACAGACATCATGTGCCTCATGATCCGAGGCACCGAGAAGGACACGACATCACTTCTGTGATATTCTTGCTGCAAATGCAGATTCTAAGTCTAAGCATGAGGGGACATCAGACAAACCCAAGGGGAAGGACATTCTACAGAATGTCTGACTTGTACATGTCAGTACCAAGGTCATGAGAGACAAAGAAATGCTGAGGGACGGTTCCAGATTGGAGGAGACTAAAGAGACATGTTATGAGGAGGGACCGGTCCCTGGAGAAGGACGTCATGCTGGGTAAAGTAGAGGGTCAGCAAAAAAAGAGGAAGACCCTCAATGAGATGGATTGACACAGTGGCTGCAACAATGAGCTGAAACATAGCAACGATTGTGAGGATGGCGCAGGACCGGGCAGTGTTTCCTTCTGTTGTACATAGGGTCGCTATGAGTTGGAACCCACTCGATAGCACCTAACAACAGCAACGACAAAGAGACGTGGCAACTGAATGCAGTGTGGGATCTGGGACTGATCCAGGACCGACAAACACAATGCAATAAATAACGTCACTGAGACACTTGGCAAAAGTGGAATAGAAGCTGTCGTTTAGATAACAGTAGTGTATTAGCGTTAAATTTCCTGAATTTGATCGTTTTACTAGATTATGGAAGAGAATGTCCTTGTTCTTAGGAAATAGACCGAACTAGGAAGGAATAAGGGGCATGATGTATGCAATTTACTTTCAAATGGTTCAGAAAAAGAGGAAGAGAGATAAGACAGAGAGGAACAAGGGAAAGAGGGAGGAAGGAAAGAAGAGAGAGAATAGTAAAGCAATTGTGAAACTCTATTGACAAAGTGTGAATTTGGGTGAATGGTATGTGGACATTCTTTGTACTCTTCTTGCACTTTTTCTATTAGTTTGCAATTATTCCAAAATAAAATGTAAAAAATTAAACAAAGGGGGAGAGAAAGAAAGAGCATTGAAAAAGGAATAATTTTCTTGCCACGTGACTCAGTGTTGCTAAGGCCTAACACCATCAGGACCACCTGTGGCCAGCCCACAGGGTGGGGACCCAGAGTTCCTCTGAGGCAAGGGTTAGGGGATGACGGAAGGTGTAGGGGCAGGGCAGAGCTGCAAGGGGGCACGCGTCTTGTCTGCTTACCGGAATTTCTTCAGCTCAGAGAGGGACAGCAGGAGGCTTTGCAACAGCACGGAGCTGGCATCACAGAGGTTAACCTGGGACAAGCTGGAAAGGGCCAAACATATTCCAGAGGATTGTAGGTCTGGATGCCTCTCAGGGTCATAACATACAGATGGGGAGGCCCAGAGAGGGGGAAGGACCACCCAGGGGCTCCCAGTAGGGCAGGGCTCCCTATGGTCCCCTGGGACTCTCCTCCGAATGCCCAAGTGTGATTCTCTCTTGCGTAGGGAAGTGAGAATGCCAGAGTCTAGCACCCCCCAGCCTCACCTAGCAGGCTTTCCGCCCCCATCCTGACCAGTCAGAGAACTCAGGGCCCCAGCTGGGGCAGAGGGCCAGGCCCAGAGACAGTGGCTCGGGGTGCTGACCTGAGCTGCTGCAGCCTGGTGCATGTCTCCATCAACTGCCTGACGAGAAGGCTGTGGTGTGTCCCAAGGTCACAGTGAGCCAGCCTGGGGGCAAACAGGAGGTGACAGTTCTGAACACCAGTGACTCAGTTCCTGCCCGCAAGGAGCTTATGGTATGGGGGTAAACACTTGTTAATCAAATAAAGTCCCACGATTTGCTATTCAGTTATGAGAAGTGCTGTGGAGGAGGGGTCCTGGAGGGGCAGCTGCTACGGCTGTGAAGGCTGTTCACTGCATCAGGGCAGCCAGCTGAGGAAATGAGTTGGGGCTGAGATCTAGCCATGCTCTGTTTCCCAAAATGTATACCTGCAGGGCTGCGTCCACCCGAAAGGGATGACTTATTCTAATTTCCAAAAATGTGTTATTGGACTAGAGATGCTGTGAATCCAAGCATCTATAAGAGTGGTAATGGGAGGGCTTGACTCAGCCTTGGAATTCTGGAGATGAGGGTGGCCACCCTGAGGTGGTTGCATCTAAGCTGAGACCTGAAGGATGAGGGGGAGTTAGCCAGGTGAAGAAGGAGGAAGGGGTAGGGGATGAGAGAGCATTCTGGGCAGAGGGAACAGCTTGTGCAAAGGCCCTGAGATCAAAGGGAGCAAGGTGATGTTTGAGGAGCTACAATCGGGGTTTGGGGGAATGGCTGGAGCAGAGACTGGGGTTTGGGGTAGGATGGAGAACATGGAAAGGCAGGTTGGGTGAGACCTCATAGGCCATACAGAAACTTGGGACATCAAAGTACTCTGTTGGTCAGAACGGCTGTGTCCCTACCCCAGCCACTCCCTTGGGCTCCCAGGTGCTGAGTCCCACCTGAGGGCCACGGCCTCTGGGTTCTCCTCCTGACGGGGAAATTCCAGCTGGACACAGAGCTGCTGCCGAGTCTCGGAGATGCTGGGGAGGGAAGGGGTACCACTGTGAGGCTAATAGCAGCTTTTCCTCGAAGGATGAGCTGGCTCTGGGGCTGCCCAGCCTCCTGACTCTGAGCTCCCGGACCTAGACCTGGGTCCCCCCTCCCCTGCTAGGGTCCACCTTGGGGCTAGAAAGCAGTTGCTCCCCTGGGTCACATACACCAAAATGGGTGCCTTTTCAACCTTTTTAAGTTAATAAATGAACGAGGCTTTTCAGACCACGATGGGGAGTCATTAAAGGGATCCAAAGGAAGTTCCAGAATTTACTGAGGGAGGGGCTCAGGGGCCACAAAGTGGCTGGAAGCCTGGGGAGGCTGTATCTGCACTTTGAGCTCATGGCGTTTACTTGAATATTATGTTTATGGGGTGAGGGGGGTGATCTTTGGGAAGGGGCTGAGGGAGATGCTGGAGTGGTGGCTAAAGTTCTCCTCAGCCATTCCTTGGTCACTCCTGAAGGAAAGAGGGTAGAAGCAAGAGGCAGGCTGTTCCACTACCGACAGCACATCGGAGGTCTTCGGATGCTTTAGTGCATACAATCCTCACCCAGCCCCACTAAGTGGGGTGACCATACCCTGTTTATAGATCAGGAGGCTAACGCCAGAGCAGCTCAGTAATGGGCTCAGGCCACCAAGTGGCTCAGCTGGGATCTGAAAATAGGTCAGTGAGATGTCAAAGCCTTTGCTCTTAGCCACTCCATGTCATTCTGTCACCCTGGTCACAAAGCCAGGGACAGCCTGGACTCCCAGTAGTATCCTCCTGGGATACGACAACCCTTTGTCTGGACTCTCGGGCTGCGCTTCTCACTCTGGCACTGCTGCCTGACTGCTGCACGAGTCCCAACAAGCATGGTGGCTCCCTCACATGTGCCCAGGAGCTCCTGCCATCTTGGGGACACAGCTGTTACCCCACAGGATAAGAGAGCAACGTCTAGGTGAGGGAAGGTCCCAAGGGTCATGAAAAGATGAAGAATTCCGAGGACACCTCCTCTCTGGACTCACCTTATTTCGGTGACGTTGCCTGAGGCCTGGGCGCTGGCTCTCAGCAGTTCGAGCACCCCGACTCTGCCCACCCACGGCTCCTCCACCCTGTCACGGAAGCAGACAAGACAGGGTCTCCCAGTGTGGGCAGGGTCTAACCAGCAGGGGTGGGGCGAGCCAGGGGGAGGGGAGCAAGGAGGAGGGTCAAGGGGGGCCTAGCGGCTTTTAATTTTTCACTTATTTTAAAACTACAAAATTACACAACTAGGCATAAGCGTAAAAAAGAAAATTAACATCATCCTTATTCCAACAATTATTATTGTAACAGTCCATAGAGAGAATATTAATTTTTAAAATGTTATTTTTAGACCTAAGAAAAGGTCCACATAGTATTACATTACAAAGATAAGTAAACAAAACTTATATAAAACATAACCCAATTTTGTTAAAAAAGAAAGAAAAAGAAAAAAATACGTAGGGAGCGAGAGACGAGGAACATATTTTAAATGTTAACTGTGGTTGTTTTAGTGGTGGAATGCTCATGAGTGATTTTTATTTTATTCTCTACTTTTCTATATTTTCTAAACTTTCTACAATCTGTGTATACTCATTTAGAAGCAGAGAAAAAGAGAGTCATTGAAAACATCCCTGCTTTTAAAGTTACATTGAATTTTTTAAAGCACTGTTTTCTTCTTTACGCTCTTCTGAATTTTCCACAAATTTCTACGAGTACATATTTTTGTTTTTAAGAGTAAGAAAAGTTTTATTTTAAAATGTTCTCCTGGGGAACAACCACATTGTAGGTGTCTCATCATGGGCTGCAACAAGAAGTACGTTTTCTTGCCACAAATATGTAAATGGAGCACATGGAGCCTTTGCTCTAACTTCCGATATAACTTTCAGTTTACAGGAAAGTAGGGGTTTAGAGGAACAAGCTCCATGACAACAGGAGGCAAAGAAGGCCAAAGGGAGGACTCTGCCACTGTTGTCAGCAAGACTCTGACATGAAAGAGGAAAAGGGTGACACGGATGCCAAGAGTCACTGCCTGGCTCCCAGACCCAACCAACCAGCTGTCCCGCTAGAGCGGCAATGGGAAAATTTCAGTTTGGGCTAAGTAAATAACATGACATTAAGAAATCCCTACGGATTTTCTTAGACATCCTAACCGAGGTTACGTGTAGAAAATGTCCTTATTTTTTAGCGATTCATGTTGAAATATTTAGGAGTCAAAGAGCATGATGTCTATAACTTATTTCAAAACACAACTGCCAAAAATATGAAGCAAATATGGAAAAGTATTAACAACTGTTAAATCTCGGTGATGGGAATCTGAGTTTTAAAAATTATTCTCTTTATTTTCCGGTAGCTTCTCTGAATGTGGTATTTTTCTGAATGTCTGAAAATCATCATAAAGAACAAACAAACAGGATCATGTTATTTGTGTCCTCTGTCGCGTGTTCTTGGAAGTTTTTTCTTAAGTCCCAGAGCACAGGCCCTACCCCAGGGAGGGATGGCTTCTCTGTGTGTCTTGGGGAGGTTCTGGGACAGAGGGACAGGGTCTGCTCTGGGTCCAGGTGGCAGGAAACGGCCAGGGCCATGACCTTGGGTGGTCAGTTACTCCGGTGCCTGCTCCTGCCCCTTATTCACACCACACCCCACTTCCCGGGGCAGGGAGGAGGAGGAGGAAGGTACCTGAGGCCAATCAGCCCTGCTGGCCGCTTCACTAGGCTCAGGAGGATGATCAGCTGCTCCAAGCCCAGGCCACATCGGGTCAGTCTGGAGACAGAGGTCAGTTACTGAGGTGGCTCTAGCAGGGTGCCCCTACCCCTTAGCTGTCCCCACAGGCTGGGCCTGGTCACTCACGTGAGATCTGTCAGCTGCGGGGCCTGGCTCAGGCCAGTAGCCAGTCTGGGCACATGCTCTGACAGGAAGCTGCACTCACTCAGCCTGAGGGCAGAGGGCAAGGGGCGAGCCCCATGAGGCCTGTGGGGGCAGCAGCTCTGGCTTCCTCCAAGTCCCCCAAGGCCTACAGGGGGAGCCCTCACTAAGTGCAAAGGCCTGGACCAGTGCCTAAGAAGAGGCCAAAGATGCGCCTTCCTGCCTGGGAGCTTCCGGTCTTTTTGGGGAGACCACACCCCCCATAAGGCAGAGTGAGGAACAGATTATTCACTGAGCTTGGTTATATGCCTGGCTTGTGCTGGCCTCTGGGTGCATAGAGGTGAGCAAGACTGGTGTACCTGCCTTTATGCAGCATCTCACTTAATTCTCACAGAGTCACTTACAGATGGGGACACTGACTACCCCAGGTCACACAGCTGGTAAGAAGTAAGGGTGGAATCTGGTTTCAATCCAGGTCAGTCAGACTCTGGACACCAAACCCTTAAGCACTACCCTACCATGCACAGTATTGCTTTATTAGAGGCTACCTTGAGAGGGAGAGAGGGCCTGAGGGTCTCAGCTATAACCCTGCCCTCCAGGTGCCCCCAGTCTGCTGTCTCACCCCAGCTGAAAAGAGGACCCAGCAGAACACCACAGGGTGGTTCACTGTGACAGGGCAGGGGGCCACTGGAGGCTTTCACGAGGGGCTGATATTTGAGCTGGGTCTTAAAGGATTGGTAGAATTTTATCACAGACAAGGAAGAAATGCCAGGCTGAGTGCCTGGCATGAACATAGGCTGGGAAGCTTGACCAGGCAAGGTGTTTGATGAACATATAGAAAAGATCCCTTATAGTTGCAGTGTGTGTGTGTGTGTGTGTGTGCACGCATGTGTGTGGTAGGGGTGCTAGAAGAACATGCTGGGAGGTGACAGCCAGATCAGACTGTGAAGGGCCCAGAAGATCAGGTTAAGGAGTTTGAACTTCATCCTGGGGGCAAGAGGGAGCCACTGAAGGCCTTAGAGCCGTGCAGTGACATAATCAGATGTGTGTGTTGTGAAGATCCCTCTGGCTGCTGTAGGCTGAATGGACTGGAGGATGCCTGGCCAGAGGCAAAAGACTAATTACAAGGCCATGACCACAGCTGAAGTAAGACACATAGAGGAAATGACTCAAGGAAGTGGCAGTGAGGCTGAGAGAGAGGGACAGAGCCCAGGGCTACCAGGGGGTGGCAGTGATGGTACTGGTAGTAATAACTGATATAGCACTCAGATGAGTCAGGCCTGTTCCTAGCACTCATTTAATCCCTAAGAGGTAAGTCCTGCTATTACCCCCATTGAAAAAATGAGGAACTGAGACAGAGATGTTAAGTAACTTGTCCAAAGTCACACAGCTGGTAAGTGGTAGAGCTGGGATGTATTCCTAACTGGCTCCAGAGTCTGTGCTCTTAACCCCAACACTCAGAAGCCCCAAGATTTTACAGTTGGGACATGGCTATGAGGCACAAGTACAACACGAAAACCCTGCCGAGGGCTGCGGTGTGGGGGCTTGGGATTCACATCTGGGAGAGTTGAGCCCAGGCTGTGAGCTACAAGTGTCTAGAGGAGGCGAGGGCTCAGCAAAGGAGCAGGCACAGAAGCTGTTGCAGGACTACCTCCTCTCCCTGCTCTCTCCCCTCTTCTCATCACCCCAGACCAGGAATTACCTCAAGGTCTTCTCAGCCTCCTCCTGCCTGGAGAAGTGAATCCAGAAGCTCTGCTCAGAGCCCAGGCTGCAGAGAGAGGGGTGTGAGGAAGCCTGAGGCCCAGACCTGCCAGCGTTCTAGGACCCTGGGGCCCATGGGGTGCAGAGGGAAGACGGGCATGGTCCACAGGAACACAAGCAGGCAGGAAGCCAGGGAAGGAAGGGAAAGCTCTTGCCAACCAGAGATCACCAAACTCATTCCATAGGATGCTCAAACCTGGCCTGCCCCGCCCCATGACCTCCTTGTTCCCCGTGGTCCCCCGGGCATCAGGGAATCATGGAAATTATGATCCCACATTCAGTGAACCCTGAGGCTGGGAGAGAGGCTGGGAGAGAGGCTGGGGTTCCCCCAAGTCGCACAGACAGGGCCGTCCAGTGTGTGAGTTTTGCTTCCCCCACCATCCACAAGGGGCGCTAACATCTCCTTACTTCACCAAGGCCTCCCGGGCACCTGGACAGGAGGGGAGGGTCTCCACCAGGTACAGGGCACTTTCCAGAGACATGCTGTTGTGACTCAGACTAGAAGAGAAAGGAGGCTCAGGACTAGGGGGGGGGGGGGGGGACCTGGATAGAGCCCTGCCCAGTCCCCCTTGCCTCCAGCTGTCAGATCTGAGAAGAGAGGCCTCAATGTCCAAGGGTCCATCTGCAGGAGACACCGAAGGCCAGAGGGAGGTCCTGAGGGGCCCCACCCGACACAGGCTGCACTGGCACCAGACTCTGATCTGGGGTGAGGCACACAATGTGGTCGTGGGCAGGGCATTGAGGGGCCAGGCTGGCAGCTCCATTCCCACATGGATCAGAGACTCCCAGAGTACAAAGCTCAGTTGCTTAGCAACGGAGTTTGTATCCTCATTCTGGTGACAGTGTGGACTACTTCTTAGTGATCCTGTCTGCTACCGGGACACATCTCCAAACCCGTGTCCTGAGATTGGGTCAGAGGAGCTTCAGGGGGAGGATGGACCAGGAGCTGGGGTGGCTGAAATCCCAGACCAGCTGGTTAGGGATGGTGAACTGTCCATTCCCTGCCCCATGGCTGACCTTCGCCGGAAGGGGTTACATGCAGGGGTGGGTCCACTCTGTTTTGAGACATAGCCTCTCCTCCGCCCATGGTGGGCATGAAGGAAGGGGGGAAGGACCCAGAGCCAGCAGAGTCAAGGTCAGAAATACCCTTTCCCCTCCCGGGTCCTTGTCCTCTGGAGCTCTCCAAGGATGCTCTCAAAAGAAGCTTGTTAATGCTCTTGGCCCAGGGCAGTCTTCCTCCTTGCTATCTTCAAGGTTGTTCCTCACTTACTCAAGTAAACCAGAGATGGACACCTGAGGCAGACATTCCAGCAGGCTCCTGAGCCCGTCATCACCCAGGAGGTTTCCTGAGAGGCTGCAAGAGGTAAGAAGAGGCTGGTTGGTGGTCAGGCATGCCTCCTCACCCTCCGCCTCCTCGCTGGTACCATCACCGCTGTGTCTACCATCACTGCCAATCTACTCAGCCAGCGCTATCATTATCACCACCACCATCACAGGCACTACCATCTCAACATCATCATCATCACCGCCACGACCACTACCACCAGCACCACCACCACGATCACCAGATCTCCATTACCACTACCAGCACCATCACTGCTACGTACTCGACATACTGTGCCTAATACCACCACTGTGAACATCACCGCACCACCATCACCACCACCGTGATCACCACCAACCCGACATCAGCAGGCCCGTTACCACCATCACCATTATCTCCATCACCACTAGAATTGCCACCACCTTCAAAACTACTGCTTCTGTATTTCCCATTCCAGTCCCTCTCTCCAGCACCACAGTCAACCAGTCCTCATCTTCCCTTTCAATATCTGGTGACCACTCCCAGAGCTCATGTCCCTCCAGTAGGCTTTCAGGAGTTAGAGAAAAACCAGTTAGTTTTCACTCTGCCCTTAGTCTGTAGCAGCTGGGAGCCACACTTTTTGAGCAAGAGAAAATTCAGGAAAAAGAAAAACGCTTGGAGGATTCATTTAACAAACAGATTTCTTCTTTTAATTTGGGAATGCAATATTGGAAATGGAACCTGAACACTTTCTTACTTCCTTTCCTTGTAGGGTTCTGTGGTTACGACTACAGTTTCAGAAACAAAATAATCTGGAATACCTGATTTCCGTCCTACAATTTTGAACTCATTTTGTCCCGAGTATGACAATCTGAAACTTGTTCCACTTCACTTATTTTACGGCGCTGCATGGTGGATCTGAACCGCCAACCTTTTGATTGGTAGCCAAGCGTAAATGCTTTTTGCCACCCAGGGAAATGTGTATGTCTGTAGCTATACCCAAACCCATTGCTGACTCATGGTGACCCCATGTGTGTCAGAGTAGAATTGCACTCCACAGGGATTTCAATGGCTGTCATCTCATGGAGGAGCCCTAATGGTGCCAAAAGGTTGGCAGTTCAAATCCACCAGCTGCTCCTTGGGGCAGTTCTAGTCTGTCCTATAGGGTCGCTCTGAGTCAGAATCGACTCGACGGCAACAGTTTTTTTGGGTTGTTTTTTTTTTTCCAGTCTTATGGAAGTAGATCACCGGGACTTTCTTTCTTGTTGTCACTGGGTGAATTCAAACTGCCAATTTTTTGGTTAGCAACTAAGCGTAAGATGTTTGTGCCACCCAGGGAAATACATATATTCTTTTTTTTAACACCTCTGTTTGTTTCCCACTGGTCCTACACTAGATTCCTAATGGTTATGAGCAAAAACTCTGCATCATACTAGCTGTATGACCTTGGGCAAGTTCTTAACCTCTCTGTGCCTCAGTGCCCCATCTCTAAAATGGGGACAATGATAGTACCCAAGGTTGTTGGAAGCCCTGGTGGTGCAATGGTTAAGCCCTTGGCTGCTAGTCGAAAGGTAAGCGATTCGAACTCGCCCAGCGGCTCTTCGGGAGAAAGAGCTGGCAATGTGGTTCTGTAAAGATCACAGCCAAGAAAACCCATTAGGGCAGTTCTACTCTGTCACATGGGGTCGCTATGAGTTGGAATCAACCCGATGGCACCCAACAACAACAACAGGGTTGTTGGAAGGATAAAAAGAATTGATACATGTAAAGCACAGAGCCTGGCAGGGAGAAAGTACTCAATAAGTGTTGTTATTATTATTACTATTATTTTTTCAACCCTGAGAGAGTCACCCTATTCGGTCACCCAAGACAGGCCACACAAACCACCCCTTTCTCAACAATACGAGGGCCTAAAAGTCCCTACCCTGGCTGGCTCCCAGCCCCTCAGGCTACGCTCAGCCATTGATAATTTTAACCACTTGCCAAGCAGACAAATGGATCTTTCATTTCAGAACCCACCAGCCAGCAGAGGATGAGGCTAGGGGTCTTTTGTGAAGGGTTCCCCAGATTAGATCAAGGACCACACTGTGAAACTAGGTCTACCAGGCAGGGACTAGGGAGTGGGGACGCTTTATATATGCAACCCAGAGTCCCAGGAGTCCCTTGGCAGCTGGTCCTGAAAGGTGTAGGCACACACACACACGCATAGGTGCAGATACACACACGGACACACACACCCTTCCAGTGCCACCCAGGTACACGCTCCTGTGCTCTGCCCCCAGCTTACTCCAGCTGGCTGACATCTTCACATTTGCTCAGCTTCCAGCACAGTGGCTCCACGTGCTCCTGGAGGAGGCCGCAGCCCGTGAACCTGTTGGAGGGGAGGAACAAGCAGGGCAAGGGTGGTTTGGTCACGCAGACCACCTCTGCCCCGCTAGTCCCCAGGGCAGCCTCCGAGCTCCAAGCATAGATACTCTGGAAATATCCCGCAGCCAGCACTCCCGCGCCAGCAGATCCCACCTGGCACCCCCACTCCCTCTGGAACAGTGGCTCTCAAAGCGTGGTCCTAGGATCCGCATTCGCATCATTTGGGAACTTGCTGAAATACAAATTCTGGGCCCCCAGCCCAGACCTACTGCATGAGAAACTCTGGGGCAGGACTCGGCAATTCGTGCTTTAATGCACCCTCCAGGGGATTCTGATTCAAGCTCAAGTTGAGGAACTGCAGCTCTGGGGTCATTTTAATGACTGGAGGGTCTCCCCACCCCTCTACCCTCAGGGTAAGGAACAGACACGGAGATGGGGAAGGGAATATGGGCGATGTCTGCTCCTGCGGAGGGCTATTGATGCTGGGATTAAAAGTCACAGGAAGTCTACCTTTGAGAAGTCTGGAATGAGACCACACAATAAAAGCAAAATAAGGGGTTACAAAAGCCAGCAATTAAAAAAAAATCTTAAAATCAGAAAGTCTCTAAACTCAATGTCAAATTTTGATCAGTTTATCTTCACGATTTTTCCATATTCCTAAACTCTATATTATACTATTATTTACTTAATATTTTCTTTGAATCAGGTAATTAAAAAAAATTTAATACACTTATTTTAAAAGGAGACCGTATGCCACAAACTTAATGGAAAGCTGTCACTGATTTGATGCAAATAGACCAGCAGCTTAAAAATACATAAAACGAGAGCAAAATGTCAATGTTATTAAATTTGATAAGGGCTGTTGAGAGCACTCTCTTTATTAAAAAGCGAGCTTAGCACGTGTTGGAGAGGTGTTAAAGGCACACTAACACCAATAGAGACTTCCTCCCTGCCCTAATCAGAAAGAGAATTAAAAAGGGAGTAATTTTCTCACTAAGAGATTCAATGATGTTGAACCAACTTACTATTTGTCCAACCTGCTAAAAATCTTCTCATCGTGGTCTATGTCCTACATTTTGGAAAACCCTGACTTACATATTCTATAAGTTGGAGTAGTGTTGGGCTAGGCCAGGGGTCAGGAAACTATAGCCCACCGCTGCCTGTTTCCGTATGGCCTGCAAGCTAAGAATGGTGATTACATCTTAAAATGGTTGAAAACAAAATAAAAAAAAGAATACTATCTCAGGACACAGAAACATTATATGAAATTCAAATTTCATCGCCCATAAATACACTTTTACTGGAACGCGGCCACACCCGCTTATTTATGTGTCATCCATGGCTGCTGTCAAATTACAAAACGGCAGCACTGAGTAGTGACAGACCATGTGGCCTGCAAACCCCAAAATATTTACTACCCCGGGTGGTGCAAATAGTTACTTGCTTGGCTACTAACCAAAAGGTTGGAGGTTTGAGTCCACCCAGAGGCACCTTGGAAGAAAGTCCTGGCAATCTACTTCTGAAAAATCAGTCTTTGAAAACGCTATGGAGCACACTTTTACTCTGACATACATGGGGTCACCATGAGTCGGAGTCGACATGACGGCAACTGGTTTTTTTTTTTGGCAACCCTTTACAGAAAAAGTTTGCCCACCTCAGGGCTAGGAACACAGTGAAACTGCCTGAGTTCACATTCAGCTCCACTACTTCCTGCCTTGTGACCACAGCTGTGAGGTTGGTATGAGTTAATATGCATAATGCTGTTAGCATGGCACCTTGCAGATCAACAGTGCTCTGTTTCTCGTATTTCACTGCTGAGGAGCCTGGGATTCAGAGAGAAGGAACTGGTTCAGGAAGCCAGTGGCATCAAACAGTTACCGGAAGCAGCATCTCTGAATTCCAACCCTCATCCCTTATCCTGCCCCCAGTGCAAATATCTTCCTTCCTCCCGCTTGATGCAACCTCAGAGCCCTGGTAGAGGAGCCAGCAGGGGCAAGGACACTGAGATCTATGAGCACCTAATGTTTTACATGTCACTTTTCCTTAATCCTTGCAAACTCCCCGCAATATAGCAGCTCCTTCCTACAGCTGTGGAAGCCAAGGATCAGAGAAGTTAAGTAACTTGCCCAAGGTCCAGGACACATGTAGCACCAGGTCCTCTGTGGAGCTGGGACTCAAAGCCTGATGGGAATGCTGCAAAGCCCTTTCCACCTTCCCAGGCTTCCTAAGTTCTGGTTCAGTCTGACATGTACTCGCTGTGTGCCCTTGGACAAACACTGACCCTCTCTGGGCCTCTGCTTTTTCATATAAAAATAGCTTGGATGAAACAAGTTCGCTTGCAGGGTCCTTGCAGGGGAATGAGCTGGGTTAGGCAGTCCTTGCTCTGCTCTGGACACCTGGGAGGCCTTGTCTGCTCAGCCCCAATGACCCCTGGCTGTCAGGGTACGGCTCGGCTCGGGCCACTTACCTACAGTACACGCCTTCCTGCTCCTCACTAGACCTGAAGTGCAGGGACACTTGACGCAGGGACCTGGAACAGACAGTACCTGGGTCAGTCCTCATTGGCCACAGCCTCAGGATGTCCCCAGGGGGCAGCTACTCCTATCTCTGAAGCACAGTCTCTGGCTGGGGCCCTACTGCCTCCATCCCACCCCCTCATACCCACCAGACCCCAGGCACAACCTTCCAAGAGTCTTGTCCCAGTGGCCCAGGCCACTTCTCACCTGATCTCCACCTTCTGAACCCGTGGGCACAAGCCGAAGATGTTAGCCAGCAGCAAGAGGCTGCTCGGGGACAGTTCCGTCTGACTCAGCCTGAGAAGGAAAGGGTCAGGGCCCTACATCAGCAAATCACAGCCAAGCATGGCCAATAGACAAGGGACCTGGGTAGGCTGGAGGGGACAGGAAAGGGAGGACGGGAGGGCCGGCAGGGTCAGCAAAGCAATAGAAGGTAGGGCGCAGGAGGGACAAATAGGTGCATGGTGGGGCAGACCTGGGTTCAAATCTTAGTTCCGCTTACTGGCTGTGTGACTTTGGACATCATTTAACCTCTCTGAGCCTCAATTTCCTTATCTGGAAAAAAGGATTAATCATGGAATATCTTCCTCTCAGGGTGCCGGCAGGATTTAATGATATCAAGCTTGTGAACTGCCTAGCATGATGCTTATGCTTCCTGTCATTATTACTCTTGTTGCTACCTGCAAACACAGAATTTAATAGGCAAGTCCTTGCTGAGAGGGAGCAGGAAGTCCAGGCCCTTAGAGCACAGTCTCTCAACCTAGGCCCTATCGAGATTTGGAGCTGGAGAACTGTTTGTTGTGGGGGCTACCCTGTGTTAGCATCCCTGGCCTCTGTTCACCAGATGCCCACCAGCACCCACCTATCTCCAGTCATGACAACTCAAAACGTCTCAACCACATTGCCAAATGTCCTCTGTGGTGGTGAGGGGGACTGCCCCTAATCGGGAACCACTGCCTTACAGAAGGTGAGTGTTCCGTCTTGCCCTCAGAGCATCCTTGATGCCCCCATTTCTCTTAGCCCATAACCCCACCATCAGCGTGTCTTGTCAGTTCCACTGCCAAGATCCACCTGAATCCACCTACTTCCCTTGCCCCTGCTGTACACACCACCACCCCCACACACACCACATGCACACGCACACACACGCACGCACGTGCGTGCAGACACACACATGCACACGCACACACGCACACACACGGACGCACACGTGCACACACGCACACGCACGCACGCACACGCACGCACATGTGCACGCACATGCACACATGCACACGTACATACCACACAAGATTCCCAGCCACTGTCATCTCCTGCCCTGGCTGCAGACAGCCTCCTCCCCACTCTCACTGCCACCCTTGCTCCTCAATCCCATCACCCCGCAGCCAGGGTGAGCCTTTGAAAACACCAATGATTCCCTTGTCTTTCAAGTTCCCTTGGATGAAAACCCAGACTCCTCCCATGGTTACCAGGTCCTGGGTGACCCAGCCCCTGCCCACCCTTCCACTTCTTCTCCTAGGACTGCCAGCCACTATGCTCCCATTGCATTAGCCTTCTGGCTATTCCTTGAGTTCACCAAGCTGAGCCTCAGGGCCTCACCTATGTTGTTCCCTCTGCCTGGAATGCTGTTCCCTGCTTGTCACAAGGGGCTGATCCTTTCTTCTTCAGGACACAACTCAGTGTCTCTCCTCAGAGGCATTCCCTGACAGCCCCTGCTATTGTCTAAATCACCTCCCCAGGCACTCAGTACCACGTCACCTCGAAAAATATCACAGTCCAAATTCATCTTATTGGATTTGACCTTGCTTATTGTCCAGTTCCCCCTCCTACAAGGTAAGCTCCAAGAAGACAAGGACCTAGTCAGTTTTTTTTCTCTGCTGTGTCTCTAGCACCCCAAATAGTGCCTGGCACATAGTAGGTGTGCAGGAAGTATGGGTTGAGTAAACCAAAGTTTAAGCCCTGGTGAGGGTCAGGCTGGCCACCTGGTTCCAAGACAGATGAGGAGTTGAGGGCTGATGCTGTGTGACTTAGACATAGAGAAGTCCCTCTCTGGTCTGAGGTATCCTGCTTGTTCATTTTAGCCTACCACCTCCTTTTGTGTCCGAAGGAGTCCTTCCTGACCCTTCCCCTCCTGGCAAGGTGGGGCCGTAGGGGGTGCGTGGGTTGGCGTGAGCTGTGCTGAGCTTGCTCACATCAGGAATGTCACCCACCTCTTCCCTCTCGCCCCCGCCCCTGCCCCCTAGGCCCTGGGAATAAGCAAGACTCTGGATGTGATGTGAGCTGTCTTAGGTGTCCCAGAGATCCTCAGCATTAGTACTAATGTTGCTATTAATGTTATGATTTAATTTCCTCCTGTATTTCTCCATCTCAGCTGCAGCTGCTTTCCCCCACTGCTAGAGGAATATTTAAACAAATCCTTTTTAAATTCTAACCAGTCCAAGCTGAAATTAGAAAATAGAGTTTTAAATACTTTTGAGTTCACCGCTTAAATTCTCCCTTTATGCAGTTAGACGGTGACCTTTAAAAAGCCATGTGTGACATACACACTACCTCCATCTGTGAAGTCCCTCCCATGGGTAGGAGAAGTATGACACCCCATCTGTCACAGGCCCAACATTCTCCAAGGTGTGTTCAGAGCCATTGTCTTGTTTGAGTCCCAATCCTAGGAGGGCTGCAAGGAGGGACTGGGGAATACTAACCCCATTTGTCAGATGAGGAGACTGAGGCTCAGAGGGGTCAAATAACTCCCCAAGGTTGACGAAGCATTAAAGTAGAGCTGGAAGCCGACTGGAGCCTCCAGCTGTGCGAGATAAAATGATGAAACTGCCCCAGGGAAGGGGAAGGGGAAGGCGGGATGGCTTTGCAACGAACCAGGCAACACAAAGTCTTACTGCAGGAGGCTCAGCTGGGGGAGCCGAGGTGAGCAGTGCAACAGGGTCTCCAGGCTCTGGTCACTCAGGACCTCGCAGGACAACCTGCGGATAAAAGCATCTGAATGAGGGGGGGCAGGGAAAGCTGGGAACGCGGCCTCACACCCAGAGCCAGTGTTGCCCCAAACATTCCTCCAAACATTAGTCCTTGCGATACCATTGTAGGGTGGGAGAAGTCAAAGGCCATATAAGTTTGATAACTGCTGAATTAAACCAAATTCAATAGTTGTCTTTGCTGCGGAACTTCTTAAAGCCTTTAATATGCTGCTGTGCATTGTGAATTTCCAAGGGGATATACTAGATTCTTTTCCCAAACCAAATTGGCAAACAGAATTATTATTTTAAGGACGATGAAGCATCTTTTTAAGAGAAGAATGCTGCCTTCACCCAGAGTAGGAGTATGATAATGGAAATTCAGGCACGCAACAAGTCAGCAAAGGGGACGTGCAGGGTAGTTGAGACTTCCGATTGCCCATCAAAACCAGACCAACCACGGTCACTTCTCCAGAACAAGGACACTTGGGAGAAACTGCGGACACCCACCCTTTGGTCTCTGCTCTACCTGGAGTCTCTAAGTGCCCTGGATTGACATAGTTCCTCCACGGGGCCAAAGGGGCTTTGGATTGTATCTGCTTTCTCCCCCTTTGTCCTTTACAGCCCCCTTGTCCCCTGCAGGCTTCCTTCTTCCCTCACTGGGGCCTCCAGGACCCCTGCTCCCCATCTCCACTGCTGTATACTCTGGTTGGGTGGGGGAGGGGGACTGGGCCCCAGCTTCAGCTTGGGAGGTGCAGTGGGAGGGGGCAGCCTGTGGTTCCAGAGCTGAGACCCTTGGGGCGGAACCTCAGCCAAGGCCTGGTCTGCAGGCTCAGATCCACCCCTTCTGTCCCTGGGGCTGGGACTGGGGCACTGAGGCACAAGCAGAACAGGGGCCTTCATTGAGGGGTGCCCCATTGTTATGGATTGAATTGTGCCTCCCCAAAATATGTGTTGTAAATCCTAACCTCTAGCCTGCGGTTATAATCCCATTTGGGAATGGGTTGTCTTTGTTATGTTAATGACACAGGATTAGCGTAGGGTGTACCTTAAATCAATCTCTTTTGGGATATAAAAGAGATTAATCAAGCAATCGAGAAAGAAGCAGAGATGGGGAAGAGAGATGCCAAGCCATGTGAAGATCGTGAAGATTGCCCAGGAGCAGAGGCTCAAAGAGACAAGGACCTTTCCCCAGAGCCGACCAAGACAGCCTTTCCCTAGAGCTGACACCCTGAATTCGGACTTCTAGCCTCCTAAACTGTGAGAAAATAAATTTCTGTTTGATAAAGCCATCAGTTTGTGGTATTTTTGTTATAGCAGCACTAAGTAAGCCCCATCCACCAACAGGTCCCCACATGGCTTCCTACCAGACCCCAAATACACAGCACTGTGGCCTCTGGCTGGGTCGAGGCGGAGCTTAGAGACTTTTCTTTTTTAATCAGTAGAACTTTTGTTTACCCATAACAACATTCCACCCTGAACGCTGATATGTACACAGTGGACCTGCGATGGTTGAATTAGGGAGTGGGCCGGAGCCCCACCGCCTTCCCTGGCCTCCCAGCAGAATCTGAGGACACAGCTGGTCAACTGCTGTACTTCAGCATTAAATACCCTGATAACAATAATCCTGCATGTGGTCATGGCACTTTACAGTTAGCAAAGTGCTTTTGTACTCCTTAGCCTGTTCCTCCAACCACAGCCAAGGGAGAGGGGCCCTTAGACCCCCGCCTGTGCTCAGACCACCCAGCACTGCCCTGTGGGGTGTTTACACACAACCCCCCACAGCAGACTGTGAGCCCTGAGAGCAGGACTCACATCCCTGTCACCCTGTGTTCCCTGGGACCTGGTTCAGTGCCTGATATACAGTAGGTGCTTAACATGTTAAATAATTGAAGTGCTTATTGCAGCATTGTCTGCATTGCTACAAAAAACTGGAAGCAGCCCGCATGTTCATCTAGACTCTAGAGGGGGTCGTGGAATAACCTGTAGCACATCCATACTGTGGGGCGGGGGAGTGAAAAGGCACGGATCCACAAACCCGCTGTGAAAAACACGAGACCATCAGGGAAAGTGGCACAGTGACGGGATCGTTGATGACTTTAAGGAAATACTGCTATTATTTTAGGTCTGATAATGATTTTGTGGTTTTGTAAAAAAAAAAAAGAAAGGTCCTTATCTTTTAGCTATGCATATTGAAGTATTTACAAGTCTAAAATTACTGTAAAATAAATAGCTTATTAAAAATTAATTGGGGAAATTATAAGGTGTCTGGGAATTGCTTCAAAATAATTCTGTGCATGTGTGTGTGTGTTAGGGCCATGAGCTAATAACTTTGGAAGTGGTGGTGGATACCTTAGAGTCCATTATACTATTCTATTTATGCTTTTATATATGCTGGAAATTCTCCATACATAAACATACACAAATTTATACATATGTAAAAAACCCATTGCTGTCAAGTCGATTCCAACTCATAGCTACCCTATAGGACAAAGTAGAACTGTCCCATAGGGTTTCCAAGGAGCGGCTGGTAAATTTGAACTGCCGACCTTTTGGTTAGCAGCCAAGCTCTTAATCACTGTGCGACCAAGGCTCCTCTCTCTCTCTCTCTATATATATATATATACACAGACACATATACTTATGTACAATATTATATTACGTATTATAAATATATATTTTTTTAACTAAAAAGTGATTTTACAGTGGAGAAACCTGGCAAACGCTACTTGGCCAGGGGATCAAGGTCGACATCACCAGTGACAAGTCATGTTGCTAGCAGGCACCCCTAATATGATGTGATGAGAAGGGCGCCTCACCTCTGTGGTCTTCCTCCCAAAACTCCATAATCACTGTCTAATCATGAGAAAAACATCAGACAAACCCAAGCTGAGGGGCATTCTATAAATGTCCTCAAAACCGTCCTGCTCTAAACTGTCAAGGGCATGAAAACCAAGGAAAGAATGAGAAACTGTCACAGACCAGAAAAAGTTAAGGAAACCTGACGATTAACTGCAGTGTGAGACCCTGAGTGGGATCTTGGATCAGAGAAAGGGCATTCGTGGAAAAACTGGTGAAATTGGCATGAAGTCTAGAGTTTCATTAATAACAGTGTACCAGTGTTGGCTTCTTAGTTGTGACAAATATACCTTGGTCAACGACAGGGGAAACTGAGTGAGCAGCATATGGGAACTCTCTGTACGATCTTTGCAACTTTTCTGGAGATCAAGTCTAAACTATTCTAAAATAATTTATTAAAACATCAGTTGGGGAAATAGTAGTGATGGTTACACAGTGTTGCGAATGTACTTAACACGACTGAATTGCATACTCAAAAACGGTTAAAATGGTAAATTGTGTGTTATATATATTTTACCACAATAAGAAAAATTAATTGGCTCCACATGTCTTGATGGTCAGGGAAAGCCACGTTTGTTCTGTTATGAGACAAAAGCTAGTTGCAGAGAAATTATGTAGTGAGATCCCACGTTTGTAAAGCAACGTCAAAAACCCCTCTCTCCAGGCCTATGTGTGTTCGAACAGGGAGAAAGGCATGGAAGGACCCACACCCAGAGGTCAACAAGGATTACCTTATTGGAAGGGCTGGAGGGACCCTGGCGATGGGACCAGAAAGCAAGAAAGAGAAGGCTGTAGCAAAATGGAACAACACGTGTGATATGAGGTAAGGGGACACTGTGGAATGCACCTAGTCTGTGGCTGCAAACAGGTAAAAACTGAATACGCAAGGAGACCAGGAGTAGAAGGTCACATGGACAAATCACAATACTGATTTGAGGAGAAGAAGGGGCCGTTTCGGTGAGACAGTTTTTGTCTTGGATTTATTTTAAGGTAATTTCTGTAATAAAACCATGGCAATGACAACAAAAGGAAAGGCTGACTGCCCATTTTGCAGATGGGGAAGCCGAGGCCCAGGGAGTTAAAGCCACTTGCCCAAGGTCACTCGGCCTGATTCCAAGTCCAGTCTCTGATCACAGACCCAGCTGCTCTAGAGTGAGTGAGGTGGTACCCTCCCAGGGGCTAGGTTAGCTGGGGGGAGGGGGTGCATGGAGATGTACTGGGGATGGGGTGCGATGGATTGCTTTTATGTGGCCTTTCTCACCACGGTCTTATGGCTTCTGCCCAAGTGATTGGGTGGGACTGTGAAAATAAGTCAGCTGTGGCCCACCAATGGGATTGGTCAGTTTTGCCTTAAAAGAGAGCCAATTCCAGAGCAGAGAGAGGATCCTACCGCCACCAAGGAAGGACAGCCAGCGAAGCGGTGGCAGAGAAATGGAGCAAGAAAGCTGAGTGCCCTTGGGCACTTACTGGAGGAGTGGGGTGACTCTGGGCATTTATCAGCAGAGCTAAAAGAGCTTGGTAACACTTGCCTGAGCAGGGCAGAGGCCAAGGGGCCAGAGAGAAGCGTGGCCTGTAGCACGGCTGGGAAGAGGCTGTCCTGATGGAAGAACTGTATCTTGAGTGTTCCTGAGCCTGAATTGTAACCTGTTACTTCCCTAACAAACCCCATAACCTGAGTACTGTCTGTGAGTTCTCTGTGGCCATTGCAATGAATTTTGGAAGCCAGCAGAGAAGTAGAGAGTGCTGTGGGAGGGATAGTTGGTGTCAGAATTGGTAAAGATGGCAGAAAGAGGCGATATGTTTACAAGGGTACCTGGGGCTGTGGGCTACTGGGAGGCAACCAACCTTCTACTCTTAGGTCAGGGGACTCCCTTGGGGTAGGCCCAGTGGGGTCTGGAGGGCAGGGACAGGGAAAGGCTCACCTGGCCTCTAACCAGGAAACCCCCTCCCAGGTCACTGGCCAGATGTCCCCATTGTGCCCTCTAGCACTGTGTCTTCTACTTACTCGACTTCCAGAGGTCCCGGGCATTTCTCCAGGGCCTCGCAGAGGCGGGCGAGGCTAGAAGGCTCCAGCTGACACTCCCTGAGGCTGAAAAGCAGCATTGGGCAGGGCAGGGGATCAGAAAGGGCTCTGGATTCTGTCCAGGCCCAAGGGGCTCGCTCCTTCTCCCATCAGCCTTTCTCCCTGACCTGCAGACTGAAGGGTCCTCCCCACAGAGTACTCCCTTCCTTTCCCTAGTCTCCACCATTCCCACCACTCTGACAGTAAAGGTCCCTTAGTGTCTTGCTGTCCTTGTCCCGTCACTCACCAAGTCCTCCCCACAGCCCCTGCCTGAGGCCAGGCCACCAGCATCACTCACTTGGACCACTTTAATACCCCCTGGGCTTCCACTTTTGCCCCTTACAATCCGCCTCGTCTCACCTTTTAACTGTCCAAATCTGACCAGGCCTCGTCCCCAAACAAAACCAAACCTGTCGCTATCGAGTCAATTCTGACTCACAGCGACCCTATAGGTCAGAGGAGAACTGCCCCATAGAGTGTCCAAGGAGCGCCTGGTGGATTCATACTGCTGACCTTTTGGTTAGCAGCCTTAGCACTTAACCACTACACCACAAGGATTTCCGTGGCTCCCCATCATTATCCTTAAACTAAAAGCTAAATGTCCTTCTATGGTCTCACTCTGCCCCACCCTCCCCATCTATGCTCCAGCCACAGTGAATACTTCCACTCCCCATGGCCTTTGCACACGCTGTTCTTCTTGCCTGGGACACTTCCCTCTCTTCTTCTGGATAACCTATTCAGGACTCAGCTTGGCTGCCTCTCTTCTTAGGTGGGGAGATTGAGGCCTAGAGAGGGGAGAGCCCAGCTAGGGCCTCACAGCCCCTTGTGGTACAGGTGGGAAGTCTCCGACCTCCCACATTAGACCTCAAGCAAAGGCAGCTTGCCTTCTTTCTACAGTATTTGCGGAGGGAGGCTGGCTTCCTTTTTACAGAAAATGGGTATCCCCAAAGGCAGAAAGCAACCCCAAGCAAGGAGTGGCTGGGCTGTCCTGTTTTCTTCAGAGAAATGTGGACTCTTCTCTCTAATGCTGGGGTCTGGTATAAGCACCCCCCAACACATCCCTTTTTCATTTCCCCTTCTTTCAAACTCTCTATTTTCCCAAACCCTGGCCCTCAGCCCCCAGGCTCTCCTCACTCCAAGAGGGCACAGATCTAAAGAGGGAGCTGATCCCTGACCCCTCACCCCCATGGTGGTTACCCCCAAAGAAGAAGTGGCCGAGACTGTACCGAAAGCTCCTGGGGATGCAGCGCTGACCGACCCCCAAGAACTGGGTTCCAGCTGGGCACTCTGGCAAAGATCCACCAGCGAATGCATCCCTTGGAATGGAAAAACCATTTTGAAAGGAAAGTTCAAATCATCCACATTGGGATCCTAGACTCCAATCCTAGTCAGGACTGGAAGGAGTCCTGAGACAATCAAGTCAGTAGGTCTTAGTCTAGCCTCTCATTGTACAGATGGGAAGTTGAGGCCCAGAGCAGGGAAGCCAGCAGTTCACACCTGACCAGGTGTATGGGGAGGGGGGATGTCAGGACAGAGCCCCACCCCTCTAACCACCGACTCAGCATTCAGTGACTCCCACCTCCCTATAATGTGATTCCTTTGGCTTCAAGAACACAGAGGGACCCCGGAAATAGAGATCCCAGCCCAGAAAGCAAGACTACCCTGGCCTTGGGTACCCCCTGGCTTCAGACAGCCCACCTGGTATAGCAATGCTTTCCCCGCGTGTCATCCCTGACACACTAGCTGTGAATTCAGTCTGCCCAGCTGGTCTGGCATTAGGACACGCTTTGTGTTTACCAACATGCTCGGATGACACCAGGATGCCCAGCCCCACTAGAGGGCAGCCAGGAGCACCCCTGAAGACATAAAACTCTTGTTCATTGTTTACTGCAAAGATGTGGAAAATGTTTTCAGAGTGCCAGCGGTTCTTGGCTTTTGAAATGTGGTACTCAGAGTGTGAAAAGGCAGTGACTCATGAGTTTGCAAAAGTCCCCAAGAGGCAGAAACACAACTGCTCCCCTCTGCCCTCCCCCACAGCTCGCACCAGCTTATCTCCAGCATTACTGTCATCCTCTCCCTCCCTCCCATCTGTATTGCCTTCTTCTAAGAAAGTTTAAGGCAGGAAGTTACTGGAAATTTACATGGGGGGTGGGTTATAGAAGGAGTGATTAATTCTAGTGTGCCAGACCTGGGCTAACTCTAGGGCTAACAGTGTGCAGCATGGGTCTGAGGGTGGGGGACACTGGTAGAAAATGAGGGGTTAGATGGAGAGGGGAACCCATCCCCTCCAGAGCTCTCTCTCCTCACCTGCATCTTCTGTCACCTCTCAGGAGGAAGCGCTGGCTCTTTAAGCTGGAAGCAGAGAGGAGGCAGCAGTCAGAAAGGGCAAAGGGCTCACTTCCCAGGCAGTGACAAGAGATCAGTCTGGCCCTGTCAAGGAGGACCTGGAGGCGGTCCACTTTCTCAGCAAATATGACAGTAAATATATTAAACAACAACTACAATGATGAAGGCTCACACAGCACACCACCAATGTTATCTCGTTTGATTCTCACATAAAACCATGAGAAAAGGTAATATTCTTATCTCCATTTTACAGATGAGGAAATTGAGGCATAGAGAGGTTCAGTGGCCTGCCCAAAGCTGGTCAGTATGCTATGCCCCCTCCCACTCTTGGGATCCTCAGGGAAGGGGTAGGGGAGGAATGGGCAGACCTCACCTGGAACCATGGCTGATATGCACTGGACGGACTGGGGCTTCCTGGCTGACTGGTGCTTTTCCTTCTCTATTCTCATCACCTCCAGTGACCCCACAATTAAGGTGGGTCTCTAAGCACCCAATAGCCACCAGGGAACTCCCAATTTCTTTCTTTCTTTTTTCTTATTAATACACGTTTATTGTAAAAGATTCATACATACAGGGAGTTTCCAATTTCTTGAAAGTCTTCAAGGACAATCCAGAGAGCAAGGGAGAGTTGATGAACCATGTCTCATGGTGAATTTGCAGAAATGAGTGTGCCTGGGCCATATTCATCCACCTACCTACCCATCTACCCACCCACCCATCTAGCCACCCACTCACCCATCCATCCACCCATCCACCCATCCACCCATTCATCCATCCATCCACCCATCCACCCATCCATCCATCCATCCATCCATCCATCCATCCATCCATCCATCCATCCACCCACCCATCCATCCACCCACCCATCCACCCACCCACCAAGTCATCCAACCACCCATCTGCCCATCCATCTACTCATGTACCCATCCACCTACCCACCTGCCCACCCACCCACTCACCCATCCATCCATCCATCCATCCACCCACCCACCCATTCACCCACCCATCCACCCATCCACCCATCCACCTAGTCATCCAACCACTCATCTACCCATCCACCTACCCATCCACTCACCCACCCACCTGCCCACCCACCCATTCACCCATCCATCCATCCATCCATCCATCCATTTATACATCCACCCATCCATCCATTCGACAGATACCCCTTGCATGCTCACTGGACCCAGTACTGCGTGGGCATCTGGATAATACATGGTGAACATGACAGACTGGGACCTGCACGGGGGCTGATGAACTAAGGTACTAGCAGGTGAGGCAAGGTTCAGAGGCTGAGAAGCATGCTCACCTGATGTCCAAATGGATAATCCACTCCAGAGTAGAGAAGGACTGGGCCAAACTGAACACAGCGTCCAGGGATAAGCCATTCTCACTGAGGCTGGAGAATCACAAGAAGTGACATTGAGGGAGGTCACTGAGGACTCAAAAGCAACCTCTTTGTGGTGAGAGCACTGGGCAGGGGAGGCTGTTCCTGATTCCAGGAGAGGGAACTCACTGAAGCCCAGGTGGTCAGAGAGTGCCTTTTTCAGTTCCTCATTGTGCAGATGGGGAAACCGAGGCCCAGCGAGAGGCAGGGTCTTGCCCAAAGTTACAAGAAATGTTGGTGACAGAGCTGAGACTAGAACCCAGTGGTGCCCTGGTTCTGTGATGAATTTGTGGAGGACCTTTGTCCAGAGTTGTGCCTCAGTTTCCCCACCTGTTAAAGGACAGGCAAGGCCCAGTGAAAAATGAAAATGCAGGACCTCTTGTTCAAAAAGTAGGAATTTTTTTTCCCCTTTCCTCTGTGGTCTCTCCCTCAACCTGTCATGGTGTTCGTTTGTTTGTTTGCTTTTTAATTTTTTTTATTGTACTTCAGGTGAAGGCTTACAGAACAAATAGTTTCTCATGAAACAGAAGTACACATGTTGTTTTATGACATTGGTTAACAACCCCACAACATGTCAACCCTCTAACTTCTCAACCTCTCTTTTTTTTTGGTGAAAATTGTTTTGTTTTTAAATTGTATTTTAGATGAGGAAAATCTGGTGGTGCCATGGTTAAGAGCTACAGCTACTAACCAAAAGCTCGGCAGTTCAAATCCACCAGGTGCTCCTTGGAAACCTTATGGGGCAGTTCTACTCTGTTCTACAGGGTCGCTATGAGTCAGAATCGACTTGACAGCAACGGGTTTGGTTTTGGGTTTTGGTATTTTAGGTGAAGGTTTACAAAGTAAATTATTTTCTCATTAAACAGTTAATACACATACTGTTTTGTGACATTAGTTGCCACCTCCACGACGTGTAAACACTCCCTCCTTTTCGACCTTAGCTTCCCATCTACCAGCTTTTCTATCTCCTTCTACCTTCTCGTCCTTGCCCCTGGGCTGGTGTGCCCCTTTAGTCTCATTTTGTTTTATGGGCCTGCCTAATCTTTGGCTGAAGGGTGAACCTCAGGAGTGACTTCAATACTGAGTTAAAAGGGAGCCAGGGAGCTAGACTCTCGGAGTTTATCCAGTCTCTGTCAGACCAGTAAGTCTGGTCTTTTTTTTGTTTTTGTGAGTTAGAATTTTGTTCTACATTTTTCTCCAGCTCTGTTGTTATGGTGTTTTTCATTTGCTCCTCGGGCATGGGGTTACTTGCAGGGTGAATGCAGACCCTCACAGGTGCCTGGGGCCCCTGTCCCAAGACTTAGTGCTCAGGGCCCACGCATTCAACACTTGTCCTTCCCTCGAACTAGCCCAGGACTCCGCTGGGAGTGGAGGGTGGCAGCCGTTGCTGGGTGGGAGCAGGGAGAAGGCAGCCAAGAACTTGTCCTGGGAAGGCAGTGGAAGAGGGAACTGCTCATGAGCCGAAGCTCCAAGCCCCTGGCACACACCACTCCGTTGTCCTTAAGGCCTTCGCTTACAAAACTCAAAGTCAAAGACAAAATCATTAAGAATTTCAAGACTGCAAGGCATTAAACCCCAAACATGAGGCTCTTTTGAGCCTGTGGCCTGTGTGACTACAGTAGTCACATACCCATGAAGCCAGCCCTGAGGATGGGCCATCATAAGCCTACTAGACTCAACAATCCAAGACATTTGGGCACCTCCCCCTCTGATCTGCAAATCTGTCAGTTTCCCAGGAGACAGGAAGGCACGCCATGGGGAGGGATGGTGGGTGGAGCTTCTGAGCAAAGAACCAGAGCAAAGATCTCAAACTCACAGTATGGGGGCTGCATCTGACCCTCACTTCTAATATAGTTGGGCCTGCACAGTGTTAAGTAACGATTTTGAATTTGCTGTTAACATTAAAATATTGGGAGATGTTACAAAAAAAATTCAGATTGCCAGTTTGTCTTGAAAAATCAGATCTGGCCACACAAGGCTAACCTTAGACAGGGTGAACACTATAATTTGCCCCAGTCCCCACCGTTCCCTGCTGCCCTGCGTCCAGACCCGCTGTGCTCCCTTGCCTGCCTGCCTGTCTGCCCTTGTGGGCATTTGAGTTTTCCATTCCTGTACCAGGCTTGGTCCAAGGGTCATACCAGGCCTCCACGGTTATTAGGAGGTCCACACAGGGCTATGCTGGGAAGACTCCAATCTGCATAATATTTGCCTTCTTCCCTACCCAGGTGCAGAGCCCTGAACAGGAAGAGAGGCAACTTCCTACTCTTCCCATCATACAAGGAAAGACTGAGTAAGAAAAGGCCCCAGCCAAAGGCTTCAGCCGAAAGCCGTGGCCACACCCTCTGCAATTTATGTGTTTACTGACTGGGAACCAGGGGCTCAGAGAGGTGATATCATCTGCCCAAGGTCACATGGCAAGCAGGTGGCAAAGTCCAGCCTGGAACTCAGGGCCTGTTACTGCTGTCTCACCAGAGCTCCTCTGTCTTTGACTCAGAAGAGTTCTGGAGGAAGAGGGGCATGTGGGAGCCAAGAACGCCAAGGGCCTTTGCCTAGTTGGCTGCAGGCAAAGTTTGGGGTTCCTGGCTTCCTTCCAGGGCCTCCCTTCCATACCTGGACATCTCTTTTCTCTCTCTGCCAGGGACTTGGCACCCTCTGGCTGCCCTGGGCACCTGTTTGGGTGTCCCCCTGGTCCCTCCCATGCCCCTTGCACCCCAGGATTAGAATAGCTGCCAGCCGTTAATCATATAATACTTCCCACCCATGGCCACCTGCCCCATGCAGAAATAGAGAAACAGACTTCAGAAAATGAAACTTTTACCCAGAAGCCGGATTACTGAGTCACAGAGGCCGGTCATGGGAGTCATAGTATTAGCTACTGTTTCAGCGAAAAAGAGGAAGACCCTCGACAAGATGGATTGACACAGTGGCTGCAACAATGGGCTCAAGCATAACAACAATTGTGAGGATGGCGCAGGACCGGGCAGTGTTTATTCCCATGGTACATAGGGTCTCTATGAGTCGGAAGCGACTTGACAGCACTTAACAGCATCGTGCACTTACCACATACAGGGCACTGGAGCAGGTGATTTACAAGCATTTTCTGATTTAGTCTGTAAAAAACTCAGACCCCTCCCCAGCACACACATCCTCCGTGTCAACAGGTCAAAGCTCAGAGGCTTTGCAAGCCTGGCTACTCACTTCAGGGACTGCAGAGTGCCCAGGCCTGGAAGCAGATGAACCAACAGGGTGGCACCTTCGTCCCCCAGAGCATTGCCTGATAAGCTGGGAGGGAAAATGGGGAGAAAATGTTAGGGGGGTGGTAGGCAGGAGTATCATCCCTCCCCATCAAATGCTCCTAAAACTGGGAAACAGAGCCCTGGGCTGCCAGGCCAGATCTCAGCACAGGGTCAGCTGATGTTTTCCCCAGGGTTCTTATACTGAAGTTTGTGGCCCCTGGGAGGATGAGGGGTTGGCCTCTGGAGGTGTCAACTGTGGGGGACCTGTGTTTTGGAGGGTAGAGTCACAGCTTCACCACTTCAGTAGATTCTCTAAGGGGTTTCTGACTTCGGCAGGAAAAGAAGCACTGATCTAAATCTTAAAAAAAAAAAAACAACCTAACCTACTAACATCAACTAACTGCTGTGCTCCCCCGCCCCCCACCCGCCTCCAACAGGCAGCCACTCACTCGAGGTGACGGAGGTGGCAGCTTCCTCCCAGCGCCTTGCAGAGCTGCCCTAAGTGCTTAGCTTGGAAGCCGCAGTGCGTCAGCCTGCAGAGGGGCAGAACCACAGCCCTGCAGCGCCTGCCCACGCCACCCCAGACACACAGGCAGAGAGTGAGGTGTGCAAGAGAAGAGGGACTGGGAAGCATTGGACCCCCAGACAGACCTACAAAGAGGGACCAACACACAGCAAACACATAAGATGTCACACACAGGCAGAAAAGAGCTAGAGAGACTCAGACACAGACAGGGAAGGAGGGAAGAAAAGAGAAAGTGCCAGAGGAGGCCAGACAGAAGAGACTAAGGAGGGCCAGAGAGGGTAGAGACAGAGAGAAACAGAAACTATGAAAGAGATAAAGAGCAAGACAGACAGACAGAAAGGGAGGGGTATTCAGACAGAACATGAGAGAGGGCGAGAAGATTGTTGGCAGTTCTTCAAGGGCGGAGCTGAACCCCCAGGCCTAGGCCCAGGATTAGGAAAGATGGGCCAAAAGCTTCCTTCCCCCTTCCTCCAGAGTTCCCACAAATCCTAGCTGCTGGGGTTCAGGGGAGCTAAGGGCGGTGGGCCTTCGGGTTGGGGAAGGGGTAGTGACTGAGGGGCTGGCCTCATGAGCCGGGCTGGGGTGGGCTGGGCAGGGAAGAGGGGCAGGGAAGCCAGGCCACAACTCCTGGACACAGCAGGTCACGGTCTCCTCTAGGGAGTACTGGGGCTTTGAGAAGAGGACAGGGGAAGGCTGGAACCACATACAGAACCGAGAGGCAGTCACTGTACCTGATCCTTCTGGAGCTCGGGGGCAGCTCAGAGGGCATCTGGGGCATGTGGCTATCCAGAAATTCAGCCCTGGAGGGACACACACCCAGGCTGAACCAACACCTCATCGACCGTCTCCAAAGTCCTTCCTCAGCCTCACCTTCCACCATTCCATCTCCATACTCGGCCTGGAGTCGGACCAACCTTGGATCTAATTTGGCTTCTCTGTTTCCTGGCTGTTTAACCTCGGACAAGTCACTTAACCTCTCACTGGGATGCTGTATGTAAGTTGCCTTAGCCTGGTGCTTGGTGCATAGTAAGTGCTCAATTAATATTGGCTGTTATTATTATTGGAGTCCTTGGGTGGTGCAAAGTTAACATGCTCAGCTGTATCTGAAAGGTTGGCAGTTCTGTCCAGCCACAGGTACCTTGAAAGAAAGTCCTGGTGATCTACTTCTGAAATATCAGCCATTGAAAACGCTATGGATTACAATTCTTCTCTGACACAAATGGGGTCACCATGAGTCAGAACCGGCTCAGTGACAACTGTTTCATTGTTGTTGTTAGTCTCACGATCATCAGCAATGCCTTCAGAGATGGCAACCAAGCCATCAATAGTTCAGACCCGACAGAAGAGATTGTGGGTGGACACCAAGGAGCAAAGAGCCCATGAGCTGGGCTGGGGCAGGCCAGAAAGGTGTTGTGGAGGAAGCAGAAGGGCCTTAGCCTCCTAGCATCACTCTCCGGCTACCTCACCCCTGCTCCAGAGGTGGTCCCCACCCTGCATCACGGGACTCATGGACACGGGAGGCAGCCTGTCTTTGACCCTCCCCCTTTAGGGCTGCATCCCCCCAGCAAAGCCTGCTTGCTTCCTGCAAGGTCTCCCTGGCATCTGAGAGCACTCCCCACCTGTGGAGGTCAGGGAGGGGGTGGCCCTGACTGAGGCTGGGGTCGGGATGTTGCGGTCCTACCTCTTCCAGGTCCCCTCCTCCTCCTCCTCCTCCTCTGACTCTTGGGCAAATGTGAGGACCACAGTCTTGTGCAGCAGGCTGCAGAGACAAGAGAGGGGTGAGGAGGTGAGAAGCTTCTTTGTCCCTGTGGCTCTGTGCCATTTTAACCCCTGCCTCCAGCTGCAGAGGCTTCCTCTGACTTTCCCCGGACTGCCCCGAGCCTGAATGTTCTGCCACAGAGATTTCACAAACTTACCTACCGCATATGCTGCCCTCATTTCCTAAAAAGTGTTTCTTAAAACCAAATTTAAATTCTGCAAGCCGCTTTCTGTTTTGGGCCTCAGACTGAAACTCTCCTCCCTCTGCCAGTCAGGGCGCCTCTTGTACTCAGCCAACTCTCAGCCCTAATGCGCCCCAGCAGTGGGACAGACACTGCACTGCCAGTGTTGGGGACAGGCACTGAGGATCTAAATGGAGCTGTCATTTATAACCCAGGCATCCTTCATCTTGTTTTTGTAAATGGAACTTATATATTTTTTCTCTTTATAAAATTCATACTTAGCCTTTGTGGAAAACTTAGAAATACAATATAGTAAAAGGAAAATAACGAAAAATCATTCATGATAATATTGATTATCACTGTAAACATTTTCAGTGGGTCTTTTAAGTCTTTTGGGGTTTTTTGGAGGGTCTGTATAGGTTCCTTTAAGGAGCCCTGGTAGTGCAATAGTTAAGTGCTTGACTGCTAACCTAAAGGTCAGTGGTTCAAGCCCACCAGTGGCTCCATGGTAGAAAAGATCTGGTAATCTGCTCCAATAAAGATTATAGCCTAGGAATAATCTATGGGGCAGTTCTACTCTGTCATACAGGGTCGCTATGAGTCAGTGTCATGGACTGAGTTGTGTCCCTTAAAATATCTGTCAACTTGGCTAGGTCATGATTCCTAGTATTGTATGATTGTCTACCATTTCCGCATCTGATGTGATCTCCCTATGTGTTGTAAATCCTATCACTATGATGTTAATGAGATGGATTAGCGGCAGCTATATTGATGAGATCTACAAGATTGAGCAGTGTCTTAAGCCAATCTCTTTTGAGATGTAAAAGAAAGAAGCGAGCAGAGAGACATGGGGACCTCATACCACGAGGAACACAGCACCAGGAGCAGAGTGTGTCCTTTGAACCTAGGGTCTCTGCGCGCCTGAGAAGCTCCTGGATCGGGGAAGATTGATGACAAGGACCTTCCTCCAGAGTCGACAGAGAGTGAAAGCATTCCCCTGGAGCTGATGCCCTAAATTTGGACTTGTAGCCTACTAGACTGTGAGAGAATGAACTTCTGTTTGTTGAAGCCATCCACTCGTGGTATTTCTGTTATAGCAGCACTAGGTAACCAAGACAGTCGGGATCAGCTTGATGGGACACAACAACAACGTTGTCTCCTTTAATCTGGAACATCAGTCTTTCCTTGTCTTTAATTTTATTAAGATATAATTCACATGCAATCCCTGAGTGGTGCAAACAGTTAAAGCACTTGGCTGCTAACTGGAAGACTGGAAGTTCTAGTCCACCCAGATGTGCCTCAGAAGAAAGGTCAGGTGAACTACTTCCAAAAAATCAGCCATTGAAGACCTCATGGAGCACAGCTCTACTCTGACACACATTGGGTCACCATGAGTCAGAGTCGACTTGATGGCAACTGGTTTTTTTTTTTTTTTTTTTTTTCTGGCTGGTGCACTAATTCTTTATCCATATGTTGACTGTGTGCCTGCTGTCCACCACAGGGGGAGGCAGTTTATGGACTGGGGTCACTTCAGACCCTGCCTCTGCCACTCAGTAACTGGGTGCCTTAGCTTAAGTAATCTCTCACCTATGTTTCAGGTCCCTCATTTATAAAATGGTGAGAATAATAGTATTCCCTCATGTGGTTGTGAAGATTCCAATGACAGTGTGTTCACGATCCTCCTAGATTCTTGTCTTACCTACTGTCCTTATCCCAGGAGCGCCAATGGTGCAATGGGTCTGTGCTTGGCTGCTAATCGAAAAGTTGGCCATTCGAACCCACCAGCCGCTCCACGGGAGAACAGGCCTGGCAATCCGCTCCCATAAAGATTTATAGCCTAGGAAACCCTATGAGGCAGCTCTCCTCTGCCTATAGGGTCACTATGAGTCAGAATTGACTTGACGGCACATGACAACAACAGTGTCATTATAGAGTCCCTGGGTGATGCAAATGGTTAATGTACTTGGTTGCTAACTGAAAGGCTAGAGGTTCAAGTCCACCCAGAGGTGCCTCAGAAGAAAGGCCTGGCAATCTACTGCCAAAAAATCAGCCCTTGAAAACTCTATGGAGCACTGTTCTACTCTGACACACATGGGGTTTCCATGAATCAGAGTTAACTCCACACAACAGGTTAATGTCATTATCGATGAGTGGTGACATATGGAGTTAGTATGCGACGTCTGGCCATTCTCAGTACTCAGGGCTCTGCTCAGCACTGTTTTTAACTAGTATGTCTTTTCTTTTCTTTTTTTTAAATTTTTTTATTGCTCTCCCCATACTGTGACAGCAAACTCCTCCTTTCCACCCCTGATTCCCCCTGTCCATTCAACCAGCTCCAAACCCTCTCTGCTTTCCCACCTCACCTCCGGGCAGAAGCTGCCTGTTTAGTCTCTTGTATCTACTTGAGCTAAGAGGCACACTCCTCATGAGTATCACTTTATGTCCCACAGTCCAGTCCAATCCCTGTCTGAAGAGTTGGCCTCGGAAATTGTTTTAGTTCTGGGCTGACAGAGAATCCAAGGGCCATGCTTTCCAGGGTTCCTCCAGTCTCAGTCAGACCATTAAGTCTGGTCTTCTTACTAGAATTGGAGTTCTGCACCCCACCTTTCTCTCTCTCCATCTGGGACCCTCGGTTGTGTTCCCTGTCAGGACGTTCATTGGTGGTAGCCGGGCACCATCTATTTCTTCTGGTCTCAGGCTGATGAAGTCTCTGGTTCATGTGGCCCTTTCTTTCTCTCGGGCTAATACTTTCCTTGCGTCTTTGGTGTTCCTCATTCTCCTTTACTCCAGGTGGTGGAGACCAATTGAGCATCTTCGATGGCCACTTGCAAGCTTTTAAGACCCCAGACGCCACTCACCAAAGTAGGATGCAGAACATTTTCTTAATAAGCTTTGTTACAGCAACTGTTTTTTTTTTTATTTTTTATTTTTTCCCTTACAAAAATTTATACATACATTGCTATGTAACTCTTATTGCTCTCCCCGTACTATGACAGCACACTCCTCCTTTCCACCCTTAATTCCCCATGTCCATTCAACCAGCTCCTAACCCTCTCTGCCTTCCCATCTCACCTCCGGACAGAAGCTGCCATTTAGTCTTGGCAACTGGTTTTAATGTCAATAGTGTGGCAGTTAAGAAACCCTTTACTAGTTGAGCCCACTGGGTGCTCCCACCTGATGTGCAGTTCTGCCAGGGTCCAGCAGGTGCTCAATGCACTCAGCACACAGTTCACCCCCGATGCAGAGAGCCCGTTGTCACTGAGGCTGTGGAGAGGATAAAGGAGAGCCATCAGCAAGCAGCTCAATTCCCCAGCCCCAAGCAGCTCCAACCTCTCTTGTGGCTCTGTGGTTTGCTGTCTGTCACACTGGGGATGTACCAGGTCCCTAACCAGGGGTTCTCAAAGAATTCTGGTTCACGTTGGTGATCCAAGAGAGGCATGACCCCCTGCCCCACTTACAGAGAATAAAGTTCTCTGGCTTGAGTAGGAAGAACCCACTCACTGTTTTCACCTCTCTGGCCTCAGTTTTCTCATCTGTAAAATAACCACGTTTCCAGAGCACTGATTGCACCAGGCCTTCTGCTAAGGGCTTTGTACATATATGGTCTCGTTTAACCCTGTTTTACAAATAAGAAAACTGAGGCCCAGAGCCGTTAGCTACAAAGCTCCTAAGTGACAGAGCCAGGATTTAAATCCAAAGTCAAGGCCCCACACCACTGCTATCCAACCTCAACACTCCCCCATCCCAACCTGCTTTTAAGACCCCAAAACAGCCCACCCAAACATCACCCCCACCCATCCTACCCCACTCAGCACCCCAGCACATCCAATAGCCCAATGACCCTCCTTTCTATCCCACCACCCAACAACCCATCCTTTACTCCAACACTAACCCCCCATTCTAACATGCCACTTCCCACCCCAACATCCTAATCCAACACTCCAGCACCCATCCAGCCCAACATCCCAATACTGTCCCAGTGCAACACCACGCCCCATCCCAGGGCTGTTGAAAGGATGAACTAACTGGAACACAAGCCACTGGGCTACAATGAACACTACTGACTGTCTGACATGCATAAGGGTTTTTATCATTGGAACTAAGGCAAAGACAGGGTATGGTCGAACCACTCCAGCTTTGGAGTCAGGAGAGAATGGGGGTGGTTGGCACTATTTCTGGGAAGATTTCTGTTTTTAGGGATCTTGGCAAACTGTTTCCGGTGACAGTGGGCATGGAAGCCAGGGGTGGCAGGGACAGGCCTGGGACTCTCTCATGCCCTCCTTGTTACTCAGTGGTTGCCTGGGCAACTTACTCCAGCTTCCTGGTGATGTGCAGCTGGGGCAGAGCCTCTGTCATCAGTCGACAGCCTTCGTCTTCCAGCTGGTTCCCTGAGAGGCTGAGACAGAGGGGCTGATGCCCTGGGCTGTGGGTCTGGAGTTCCCGTAGGCCCCCAGCACCCACCTAGTCCCTCATCAACTTTTGTCAAAGCATCACTCCAATAAATGAACCTGAATAATAACCAAAGCTGAGAGATGCTTCCTACATGCGTGGTACTGTCCTGGGGCTTCTGCAATTCTTCTATGAAGAAGGCATTATTACTACGCTCATCTTAGTGATGAGTAAACCGAGGCACAGTGTGGTTAAGGCACTTGCTCATGGGTGGACCTGGGATTTGAACCCAGGCAGCCTGAGCTCAAGGCCCCACCCTCAACCCTTCCTTTATGCTGCAACCTACCTAATGTGATAAATGGCATGAAGGAAAAGTACAGGGGTGTGTGACCGTGCATTTAGGGGCATCTGACCTAGTCGAGGGGTCAGGGAAGGCTTCCCTAATGTTTGAGCTACTCACTAGAAAAACTGGGAGTTCAACAGGTAAAGGGTAGGGCAGAGATGGGGGAAGGGCACTCTTGGCAGCAGGAACAGCACATTCAAAGGTCCTGTGGCATAGCACATTTGAGGAACTGGATAGAGATTGAGTAGGAGGGCAGGTCAGATGGGTCTGAGAGGTCAGGAAAGGGTTTGGGACCACACGGAGTCTTTAGGATTTGGACTTTATACTAAGCAGCAGGAAGCCACTGGAGGGGTTCTAAGTGAAGGGGGCAGGCAGCAGTGAATCCTGATCAGATCTGCAGTTTGAAAATTTCCTTCTGCTGGATGGAGGGCCCAGGGTAGAAACAGGGAGACCAGTAAGGAGGCTGATGGGGTCATCCAGGTGGAGATGAGGGTGGTTTAGACTAGGATGGAGGATAAAAAGGGGATGGAAAAAAGGATGGTTTAGAGAGCTCCTTAGGAGGTAAGTTGACCTGGGGATGAACTGGCTCCTGGTGTCATGACAAGACCTCCACCAGTGCCCCCAGCCCTCCTCTTGCAGGCTGTGCCCAGGAGCTGGGCATCATGGGAATTTCCCCAGCCCACAAAGAGAAGGTTATCCCATTCTACTCTGGGAGAAAGACAGAGGGTGAGGGGACCCTGGGAGGCTGGGGGCTGGAAAACAGACCCAGGTATGGTGGGGTTAGGGGATTTCTAGTTTGTAGATCTCAGTGGAAGAGGCAGCAGTGATTCTAAGGATGAAGCCAGGAATCAAACTGTCTAGGCTTCAACTCTGGCCTGGCTTCTTCCTAGTTGTGTGATCTTGAGCAAATTTACCTCTATGTGGCTTAATTTCCTCCTCTACAAAACACGAATAGTAACAGCACTTACCTCTTAGGGTTATGAGGATTAAATGAGATGATGTATGCAAAAGCCCTAGCCCAGCGCCTGGCACAGGGCAAGTGTTAATAAGTGGAAGCTCCTGTGATGATCTGATTTCCCCCCAGTTCTTGGTGAGGCAGTATGCCCCTCTCCCACCCTTCTCCCAGAAAGGTGAAGCCCTGCTTCCTCTGCCCCACCCTCCTGTCTCCTGCCCCAGGGCTGCCCATGATACTCACTCCACTTCCTCCAGGCAGGGGCCATCCCGGAGCAGGGCTATGAGCACCTCAGTGTCATGGACCCGGAGCTGACACTCACAGAGCCTGGAGTGATGGTGGAGGTGGGGGACAGAGGCGCTCAGGGAAAACATTTGCACCTAGGCCCCTCCAGCTCCAAGTGCCAGTGGCAGGCATGGGAGCTGAGGGAGTCAGGAGCAGACAGCTACTCTTAGCTCCACCTCTTAGTAGCTAAGTATCGTAGACAAGGCATTTAACCTGTCTGAGCCTCAGTTTCCTCCTCTATCAAATAGGAATAATAATGTGTACTACACAGAGCTTTCAAAAGGAGCACAAAGAGGTAATGGATATAAAGCATTCAGCTCAAAGCACCCAGTGTATAACAAGGGCACAATAAATAGTAGCTATTATCATTACTGTTGTTGTTGTTTTGACAGATGCTCCTTATCCAAGCCAAAATAGGTTATTCATGTCTTTGCTCTGCCTCATGTCTGCTTTCCCCTTATCTTCCCTGCCCCTGCTATCTCTTCCCTGGGAAGAACATCACCCTCCCCCCAACATCATATTCCTCCCACTAACGCAATCGATCCTACTGAGATACCTGAGTGTCAGGCTTCTGGTCAGTGCCTCTTCCCTCTGGCTGGCATTTCCCTGGAGGTCTGGGGTTCTGCCAAGAACAAATCAAACATTGCCTTGGGCTCAGGAGTCCAAGGTCTGATGGACCAAGCCTCTTCCCTTGGCTTCTAAGGGCTGAAAACCCTATAGCATGACCCACAGTGAATGAGCAACAATTACAGTTGTTCGAAGTTGCTGGAGGTGCTATTTAGCAAAGCAACAGGAGCAAAAGGTTTGAGGTCAAACACAACCTTTATTCAAATTGTGGCTCTGCCATGCATATCTGTGTAGCCTTGGGCAAAACACTTCACCTTCTGAGCTTCCATTTCCTCTTTTCTAAAATGGCATGACAACAACTAATGCATAGACAGAGTGGTTGAAGATTGAATGAGATGATGTATGGTCAAGGCCCAGCATAGGCACAAAGTTGAAACTTAGCAAAAAGAAGTTGCTGTTGCCTATGACGTGATGCTCTCCATTTGTAGATATGCCATCTGTGGGTCAGAAGGCAGGGAGCATCAGCCATATGTGGGTCCAGGCTGTGGGAAACCACAGAACCTCCAGACTCCTTCCCACCAAGACAAGGGGACTCGGGGGGCTGCAGGGAAGCTAGGACATTATGATTTAGGGTTTCACAGACTTCTCGATTGGCAGTGTCAGGAGAAATTTCTGTGATGATGGAAATGTTCTGTATCTGTGCCATCCACTATGGCAGCCACTAGCTATCTGTGGCCACTGAGCACTTGAAATGTCGCTAATGTAACTGCTGAACCGAAAATTTCAATTTACTTAATTTTAATTAATTTAAATCTAAATAGCTACACGTGGCTAGTGGCTGCTATCTTGGGCCCTGCAGCTTTAGACAGAGTGGAAGAGACATTGGTCCTACTGGGTTATTGCACAGGTGGCAAAATTGAGGTTCAGAGGAGGGAAAGGGCACACAACACGTTCCTCTGAGTCTCAGCCAGGGAGAGACACGGGGAAGCACAGTCGGAATGTTCTTTCAGGGGAAGGTGGCTTCCGTTTCTTTGTCTAACCAAGACTGGCCAAGGCAAAAACCTGGAAGCCAGGCATAGTCGGAATGGTGTTGTTGTATGCCTTTGAGTCGATTCTCACTCATAGCGACTCCATGTTACAAAGCAGAACTGCCCCACAGGGTTTCCTAGACTGCGATCTTCACGGGAGCAGATCACCAGGTCTTCTCTCCCCTGGAGACGCTGGTGGGTTTGAACTGCTGACCTGTTGGTTAGCAGTGACCACTTAACCATCGCACCACCAGGGATCCTTAGACAGTTGGAATAGCCAGCATTTAAACACCGACCGCATGCCAGTAGTGTTTTAAGCCCTTTGAATGCATTAATGCATTTAATTCTTAGAACGACTGTAAGATGCAGGTACCATAATTGCCCCCTCCCCGCTTTTATTTCAGCTGGGAGAGTTTTTCCCACATAACGATGCCAGTCTAACAGTCTCTTCATGTCCTCTAAGGGTCTGGCTTATTCTGAGACTTCTGGGGAATGCTCCCTCTTGTGTGTTAGATTCAAGAGAAAAACTTGAAGTCCTTTGCCAACCCTGAGAAGTAACTCATTCCTTAGGGCAACAGTAGCAGAAAGAATCCCCACATTCCAGCTGTAACCCTGGATCTCTTAACCACCCTCTTCCCAACTGCCTGAGATCATATTCGTCTTAGGATGGGCCCAGACCCTCCCCGTCCTTGGCTTCTTACCCTTGTAGCTCTGCAGCTGTCTCTGTGGATGGGGAGAGAAGGAAGACGAGCTCCCTTTGCCTGCAGGTCAGACACCAAGACATGAAACCCAGGGACTGGGAACCAGCATGTCATTCCCACCTGCACACCCCCTCCTGCCCCAAATGTCCAGAGAAACAACAAGAAGTGCTCCAAATCAGGCATGTAAAATCATGACTATGTCATGGCTTGATGACTCCTGTAAGAGTGTTTTTAAAATGCAGGAAAACAATATTTTTACAAGAAAGATAAGAAAAATTAAGAACAATGAGAGTTTTTATTGGAGTTTCAAGTGTTTTGCGATTAAGAGGTACAACCACCTGCTCCATAATCCTAACAGGCAATGCTGGTTCAGGACCATGGAGAGCAACACGTGGCTCATTCCTTTGGCTATGCTTACGCTTTACAGGGAGCCCTGGTGACACAATGGTTAAGAGCGCAGCTGCTAACCTGAAGGTCGGCAATTTGAATCCACCAGCCACTCCTTGGAAACCCTATGGGGCAGTTCTACTCTATTTTATAGGTTGGCTACGAGTTGGAATCGACACTCGATGGCAATGGATTTTGGTTTCCATGCTTTGTAGATTTGATTATTCATCCATCCATCTACCCATCTATCCATCCATCCATCCATTCACTATTGATTCACTAGGTGCCAGGCCTGAGCCAGGCTTTGGAGGTACAGTTGTGGTAAAACAGAGTCTGGCATGCACACGTAGTTCTTGCAGATGAGGTACCTCCTCCTCTCCCATCAGCCACCCTCCATTCCCCTCATATCATGACCCTCAAAGCCACGGTCCCATTCCTTCTGCTCACCTGGCCTGCAGTGCCCTGATAGTTGGGCATGCGACTACCACTTTTGCCAAGCTGAGTAGGGTTGACACGGAGATGTCGTTGTGGCTCAGGCTGCAGGATTGTGGCAAAGGTGTCAAGAGTGAATCCTCCACCCTGTGAGCTCCAGACCTTCCTTGCTCTGCAAGGGAGGGGGATGAACCAAGCAGGGAGCAAGACTAGCCTGGAGGGCAGTGGAGGGGCTGCTTACTCAAGCTTCCGGAGCCTTGGTAGGCAAGAGAGCACCTTCACGATGTCCAGCACCTCCTGGTCCTTGACCTGGTTGTTCTGCAAACTGCAGGGAGACCAAGGCCCAATTCTCAGCCCTGAGGCTGGGGCACTTGGAAACCCCAGTTTGCAAGTGACAGGTATGACCACCCTCATGCAGCAAACACAAGACAGGAGCCCAGAGGAGGTTGGTGACCTGCTCCCTGGCATCCAGCAGGCACAGCTAGGAGGAGAAGCCCTCTGCTGACCTCACTTCTATCCTTATTCAATCCCTACAGGGGAGTTCCTGCCTGGTGGCCCAAGGGGTCCAGATGATTGACTGTGAAGGCCTCATGATATGGAACGAGGGGCCCCAGCACCTTGCTGCTAAGACTTATGTCTGGGATGTGCTTTTTGGCCTCGGTCAGAGAGAGTCTAGACTAGGAAATTGGAGACTCTGCTTCCAGCCTCAGCTCTGGCCCTGACTCACTCAGAGCCCTAGGCCTAGCACATGCCTCGCTGACCTCACTTCCCCCACCTGTCAAGTGGGGCACACAACCCAGCCCTGCCGGGGCCCTTGCTGGAGGAACAGATGAGCTGAGGGTTATGTAGATAATTGAGAGCCATGGCTAGGTGATAGGAGAAAATATTAAGGTGACTCTTGATAATCAGGAAAGAAAAGTAAGTGCCAACAGGTTCAATATTTCCTAACCATTGTCCTGACCAGAGTGATCACTGCACAAAGGCGCCCAGCCAAGGGGACAACGGAGGCTGTGGTCCAACTCATGTTCCACTCAACAAATGGTGCAGCCAGTGCCAGGCTGCATCTGTCCAGATGAAGGGGCACCTTTTTTAAGTCCCACAAAAGCACTATATAAGCTAGCAATGGTCCTGCCTGTGATCTGCTAAGGAGGGTCTCTGACCCCATGCCTCTCCAGGCCACTCAGTCCCAGATACAGGGCAGAAGTATATTTGTGTATATGTGCTTGTGTTAGTGTGTGCCTGCATCGAAATGTGTATGTGGATCTAAGTGTGCATACATATGTGTGCTACACATGTGCATACCTATGAATGTGCACCTACGAATTCTCACAACTGGACCAATAAGCAACATCATGAGAAATGGAGAAAATACTGAAGTTGTCAAGGATTTCATTTTACGTGGATCCACAATCAATGCCCATGGAAGCACGAGTCAAGAAATCAGACAACGTACTGCACTGGGCAAATCTGCTGCAAAAGACTTCTTTAAAGTGTTAAAAAGTAAAGATGTCACTTTGACGACAAAGGTGCGCCTGACCCAAGCCATGGTGTTTTCAACCACCTCATATGCATACGAAAGCTGGACAATGAATACAGAAGATGAATAAGAACTGATGCCTTTGAATTATGATGTTACTGATGAATACTGAATATACCATGGACTTCCAGAAGTACAGCCGTGCTCCTTAGAAGCGAGGATGGCAAGACTTTATCTCATGTACTTTGGACATGTTATCAGGCGGGACCAGTCCCTGGAGAAGGACATCATGCTTAGTAGAGGGTCAATGAAAAAGACGAAGACCCTCAACAAGATGGGTTGACCCAGTGGCTGCAACAATGGGCTCAAACACAGCAACGATTGTGAGGATGGTGTGGGACCAGGCAGTGTTTCATTTTATTGTACGTAGGGTTGTTATGAGTCAGAACCAACTCTACAACACCTGACAACAACAGCAGTAATATGAATGTGTGTGTGTGGGGTATACCTAAGTGAGTAGGTGAGTGTGCATTTCTGTGCAAGTGGGTGTACAGGTGTACATGAATGTGAAGGCATGTGTTTCACGAATTTGTGTGTATACACAGTGTCTGACACTGTCCTACATATTGCTATCCCTTCTCCCAGGGTCACAGAAAGAGGGAGGGAGCCTCAAAACCCATGCTTCTCCAAGACGCCCCCCAAAATATTACAAGAGAGAAGCAATGCTCTGGGGTCTTTGTCTGCTTGTGTTTGGATTCAACCCCACCCAGTTCTTGGGAAGATACCTCCCTTCTCTGGGTCTCAGTGAAAACCTACTGGTCAGTCGCTGATGAAATATGTAGGGCCCAGCCCAGACCTGGGGTGGGGGTGGGGCCTGAGCAGTGACTCCCCTCCCCAGTCAGTGATTCCCATGGCAATCACTCACCTGACCTCTTCCAGTTGTGGACAGAGGGACAAAGCCTTCACCAGATGGCTCATGCCTTTGGTGGTTATCTTACTTCCTGTTAACCTACATGGTGAGCAAAGACGATGGGAAAGAATGGGGACAGGATAGGGAGTAGGTCAAGAATCTGCCCTGTGCAGGGTTGAGGGCAGGAGAATGCCAGGCTTCCAAGGCTGAAGACCCCTCTTAGTTATAAGTCCAGGCTCACCCCAGTTTCTGCAGGCTCCTCATTGTTGGCAAGCTCCTGGAGAGGGCTTCTGCAAAGGCATCCCCACACCTCCTGCTCTTAAAGCTGCCATGTGGAGAGGCAAGCGGCAGAGGGTCAGTGCTGGGCAGGGCCTAGAGGCTTATATCAGAACATAAGAGGCCCTTCTGATTTTGTCACCCATTCCCTCCTCTGATAGACGGAACTTAATGTTCTAGTAGTAGTTGTTGGCATAACAAATACTATATGGCCAAACAGAAGACCAAACTCGTTGCCATTGAGTAGGCCCTTGACTCATGGTCCATAGGGTTTTCTTGGCTGTAATCTTTACAGAAACAGATTGCTGGACCTTTTTTCAGTTGCACTGCTGGGTGGGTTTGAAAAGCCAACGTTTAGGTTAGTAATCAAGCACAAACTGTGCCATATAGGGTACATATATGGCAGAGACTACTAATTGTCCACCAAAAGCCATTTGGTGCAGAACTTCATCCATAGAAATAGCACCATAGCTGGGAACTTGGTTACCTAGCCAAAGATGCATTTCCCAGTCTCTTTTGCAGCTCCCTGTGGCCATGTGACTATGTCTTCACCAATGGAATGTGAGTGGAGGTGACGTGTCCTAATTCTAGATCTGAGCTTTAACCCACTGGGCATGTCTCCTCCATGTTCTCTTTCCCATCCCCCAAGCCAGAGCACAGATATACCCATGACTCAGTGGAACCATGCAAATCAGGACGTCCAAGGAGATGATGGTGCAACAATAGAAGGGACCTGGGTCCCTGCATGACTATGTGGAGCTGAACCATCCTACTGACCTGGACCACTTAACTCTGGGCCCTTCCATGATAGAGAAATAAACTTCTCCCATTTTTTAAGGCACTGTATTTTGGGAGTTTCTTGGTTACTGCAGCCTAGCCTTTGCCCAAGATAATACACGTGTTGAGTCTTTACCAAGTGCCAGGCACCGGGCTAAGAAGTGTTTGTTATGCATTGCCTCATCTCCTTCTCACAACACCCCTAGGAGTTAGACTGTCATGTCTTCCCTTTAGAGATGAAGAAACTCAGGCTGATAAAGGTTAATAACTTGCCCCTAGTCAAACAGCCTCTAGCAGCACAGCCTGGATCAGAAACCAGGGGGAGGAAGACACCCCAACTGGACCCCAGAAGTCCTGGTGAGGGATAGAGCTTCCCCACCCATATTCCAAGGCTAGGGGGCAGTAAGGGCCTCTTCTGTTCTGATATTCAGTATTCTTACCCAGTCTCCCTCAGCAGGGTCTGCCAGACCAGTTGGCCTCCATCTTCCCAGATGCCCAGTTCCTCCCCAGGCCGTCTCCCACCCTTACTCTTACCTGAGATTCTCTACCTGCCCACAGCCCACCAGGGCGTCTGGGCAGTGGGGCTCCAGAGGGCAGCCCTCAAAATCCAGGTGGATGGGGGTATCCCTGTAGCCCAAGATGTTGGCCAGGGCAGCCAGGTCAGTGTAAGTCAGTGGGAAATTGTGGAAGGACAGTGGGTAGTGGAGGCTTTGGGCAGCAAGTCGGGCCAGCCGTGGCTCCTGTGTCTCATCCACACAGTGACACAGTTCCATGACCTTTGGTCCCCTGAACCTGCGGGTGGCCAACTTGCTCAATGCCTGCACAACAGCATCCTGTTTGGCACGCACCCACACCTCATCCTGCTGTGCCAGGTGGCTGAGGAAGGGGCGGCAGGTGCAGGATGCCAGACCTGCCAGGAAGGTGGGCAGGTGGTCTAGGCAGCCCAATCTAGCACTGGTCCGCAGCACCCAATGGGAATTCAGGGTGACATAGCGGGAGAGCATGTCTTTGTCCACCTCGGGGCTGACCATCAGCTGCAGGGCAGCGAAGAACTCCTGCAGGCTGAGGTGGGCGAAGGCATAGCCTGTCTCCTGGTGCTCAGGGCCTGTGCAGACGCAGAAGGAAGTCAGCAGGTTGTGGGCAGCCCCAAAGGCCATCACGGGTGGAGGAATGTCTCCTGCATAGAAGACAACCTTCCCGGCCTCCAGACCCTTCAAGGCCACCTCACCAAGGCCCAGGAGGGACGTGGTGGGCAAGCACCTGTGGTGGCTGAGGGTGAGCACCATCTGTACATAGAGCTGCGTGACGGTGCGCAGGAGGGCCGAAGACTGGCCTAGGGAGGTGCCAGGGAGCAGACGGCGGAGGCAGAGGCAGGCCACCCGGCACAGGGCGGGCACCGCACACATGCTCTGGAGACGCCTGTCTGCCCGCACCTCTTCCAGGGCTGCTGCCTGCAATGGATGGTCCCTGAAGAAGCGGCCCACATACTCCTCCACCCGCAGCCTGTCAAAACCCCACATGTGGACCATGGTCGCCTCCACAGGCAGACATGCGGGCAGTTTCCCTGGACGGGATGTGGCCATTACCCAGCAGCCGGGTAGGAGGGTCCCATCGCAGAGGCCAGAGAAGAGGGTGAAGGCGGGACCTGGGGTGTCCAGGCCCTCGGTATTCCTACTGGAGCAGGGGTAGAGGGCCTCGTCCAGCCCATCGAAGATAAGAAGGACACGATGTGCATTCTCCTCCAGGTACTGGAAGACAGTGTCAGCTCCCGACTCGGGGCTTGGGTAGAAATTAAAGAGGAGCTGGGGCAGCGTCAGGAGACCTGTGATCAGGTTGAGCTGGCAGAATTCGAAGAGGAACAGGGCCTGGAAGCGGTCCAGCTGGCCATCAGCCCACTTCTGGCAGAGCTGGTGAGCCAATGTGGTCTTGCCCATGCCTGCCTTCCCCAGGACCACTGTGACCCTCGGACCCTTTTTCGTCTTGGTGTTGAAGAGGTCCTGGATGCCATCTTTTGCCTTGGAGTCCCCCATAACGTCCTCCTCCTGGGTGTCTAAGGGTGCTGTGACCCAGCTCTTCTTTAGGATTGGGGCGATATGGAAGGAGACCGGCTGCCCCGGCCTGGGGTTCTCACCACCATAGCGCTGCTGGGTAGAGGTCCTCAGGAGCTGCAGGTACTGCCTGGTCAACTCTGCAGGGGGCAGGGAGGTGGCATGAGGGCAGGAGCCCCCCCTTGCCCCAGTATCAGGCTGCTGGAGCCCCAGCTGTGTATACAAGGCCAGGGGGGATGCAAGAGCATAGTCAAAAAGAATTTGTTCTACAGAAGCCCAGTGGGCTATCAAAACCACCAGCTCTGTTAGCTATTTGAACTAGGAAGTCTGAATGTGGAAATGTGAATCGTTGTTCTATTTGTTTTGCAACAATATGAGTGTTTTAAAGTTTCCAATAAGATGAGGAGGGGGGAGAAAATATGGCTGCTTCTTTTGCCACATCTTATTGGAATAACCTCTTAAGGTGATATCTGAGTAACCTGCGCCCCTTGCTAGTATGTCAGTTCCAAGATGCCCAGGGATGATACTCAAGACTGCTAACAGCCTCTTGGCACAGGCACGGACCAATCAGGTCTGTGGAAGCTGGACCAACTCTGCAGGACCCCTGCCGTGCCAAGTGCTGACCTTTTAATTGCTGGGTCCTTGGGCAGTGGCCCAGAGGAAAGACTGGGGCTGCTGCTGGTGGTATGGCCTGTTTCCTATAGATATGACCCTCTGACTACCTGTGAATGTTCTGGTGGGACAGCTGGCTGAGAATGAAGACTGTTCTGGACAACTGGTTGAGAATGAGAGAAATTCTGCCTTCTCTACGCCCACTGTCCTGGCCAGTCCTCAGTCTGCCATGAGTTTCAGGGCCTCTTCCTTGGGGAGTTCTCCCAGGCATCTTCATCACTCCCACCCCACCCCAACTTGGCCCATGAGGGCCCAGGCCTGAGGCCATGCTGGTCACTATCCTGGGGCTCCCTCAACCCTGATGATATGGGGGTATCCCTGGACCAGCCTGGATAATGAGGCTGTCTTCTGCTAGGGTACCTTTAGCTCCTTCAGTTGAGCCATTTCTGGAGAAGTCCCCTTGTGGGTTGACTGCGGGGGGAGGCTTTCCTGCCAGACCCAGGCCTCTCCTCTGCCCACCCAGGCCCATCAATTCTTCTCTCCTGAAAGCTTGGAAGACAAGAGTCACTGGGCCCCTAGAGGCTTGTCAGCAGGGGACAGAGCCCAGGATCTGTGTCCTGACCCCAAGGCAATCCGATCCCCACATCCTGGCCCCCTCCCCACCTTAGTACCCACCCAGCTGCTGCTGCTTGCACTGCTTCCTGCGGGGCGAGGACCCACAGCTCTGATGAGGCCGCTTGAGGCCTGGAAAGAGAGAAGGAGGGGGCCGAGAGGTGAGGTCTAGGGGCTGTGGCTAGAGGGCACCCAGCACCTTGGAGGAGGTCCAACCTCCAACAGGCGCTAGGCTGCCACATGCATTCACACTCCAGGACTGAAAGAAGATGGGCAATGGGCAAACGCTGCACAACACCAGCTTCTGTTTATAGGAGAGGGTCCCAGGCCTGGTGGGAGGGCTGGGCATCCGAGGCCTGGGGGTTCTCCCAATCTAGGGTTCAAGAAGCAGCGCCCACTGTCAGCAGCCTCCAAAACACCCAGCCCTAGGCAATGAACGGCTGCTTCTCTGCCAGGGAAGCACCCTCTGCTGAGGCCCCCGCTGAGTGTAAAAGTGACGCTTCAAAGGGGCTTGGCTGGACCTGCCACCTTCCTCTTGTGCCACTGTGTTTTTACCACCCTTACATCCCATCGCCCATGTTTCCTCACTTCCTGTAATGTTTTCATGAGTTGTTTCTCTTGTTGCACAGGTTTTCAAGCGTCGCTTGAAAGCCTTCCTGGAAGACGTTGGGGAAGGAAGAAACAAAGAAGGGAAATAAGAAAGAAGGGCAAAGAGAAAGGAGGGCAGCAAGGAAGGAAAGAGGGCTGATGGAAGGATTTTAACAAGTAGAGCAAGATGCTCCTACATCCAGGCACCAGTGACTGGTCAGAACAGAGCTAGGAGCCTGGTCCTTGCACTGCCACATGTGAACTTTGGGGCTGCTGGATTATAGGGAGGTCTGGGGGTCCCGAGGATGTGCTGGACCAGTCTGAGATCATTTCAATATTTTAACAAGTCGTATTTTAACAAACAACTCACTGGCCAAATATCAATCAGGCCTGGTCACAGCTCAGTGATAAGGACGAGAGAAACCAGGACCAGAACAACAGTTTTGATATGGGATTACAAGGTGGATGTTTTCTGTTAAAGCTTGTGATGTTATTGTGATGTACAGCTATGATTAAAAAGTCAACACTTCTAAAGAAATACAGGATCTGAGAAATGGAATGTGGCCCATGAACCGGTGAGGTGTTCACCATTGACCCTGATCCTGCCGTGCACCATCAGAAAATCAGCGAGTCAGCGTTGGCTGAGGGGTCTGCATAGGAGGAGGTTAGGGCTTCTTGAGGGGAGCCTGACTGTGGGGCTGGGAGCATGAGGCCCTTAGGCTAGGGGACAGGGAAGTGAGAACAGACTTCCTCAAATGAAACCAGACAGGATTCTGGCAGTGGCTGGAGGCTGACACCTTCAGACTCCCAGGAGGTGGCAGGTTTGACCCCTGGGAACGGGCATGGGGACAGGCCAAGCCTTGAAAGACACAGAGGAGGTGGGGTGAGGAGAGTGGGGCATGTGCAAATGGGCCAGGAAGAAGGAGGTTGGTTTATGGGAGATGGCTGGACCCAGCCCACCCCCAGCCTCTTCCAGGTCTGAGGTGGGGACTTAGCAGTGTTCATCACCCCTTCCTCCTCCCAACACAAGGCCTCACCATGGTATTGCTGAGATTCAGGGCAGCCTTCCTCACCAGCTCCCAGCTGCTTGGGGAACACTGAAAGAGAGAAAGAACAGTGTGTTATGGGGGCCAGCTCTGGCCTGGCAGCTAGCTTAGGGCTTAATCCACAGTGTGGGCACCCAGCATGGGAAAAATAAAGTTAACATGGTGGAGGGGAAACTGGTGGTGAGCCTTGAAAGCAGGGTGGGCAGAAATGTGTGTGTATATGCATGTGCCCTCAATGTCCTGTGTGTCCCCCACAGTGCTATGCCAACAGAAGGTGCCCAGTACATGCCCACTGAATGGAATGGTGTTAAACTTGCCTGCTCATCAGCGGAGTCAGAGGGCTCTCCCAGTGACTGCTTCTAATCATGTTGCAAAAGGATATGTCCTGGGCATTATGGGCTATTTGTAATTTTCTGGCTGGAAGGAGTCATCTGATCCTTTCTCCCCTGTATCCTGCCTCCCAGGGCAAATGAGGTGGGGCAAGGTGGAAGGAGGAGTCCTCCAGGCTTTCAGCTTATTCTGCCAGGGGATTCACTCTGGGAGTACCAGGAAGCATGGAATTCTGCTTCTGGCTCAGCCATGTCCTCTTTGTGTGACTCAGGTGGGTTCCTGCCCCTCCATGGGCCTCCCTTGGCTCCCTATGACATGGGGGCTGAGCTGGCTGCTTTGTACCTGTTATGCCCACCCTTACCATCTTCCTGGCCCCAAGTGCTCAGCAGTGGCACCTCAAGCTCCAGCGGCACATCCAGCTCCATGCACACGCAGTGGATGAATGCCTGCCAGGTGGCCAGACCTTGGGCGTGGAGCCTCTTGAGTTGTAGGATGACCCTCTCTGCAGGGTCTGGGGCCTCGTTCCTGGAGCCCAGGTCCATGTTGGGGAGGAAGAACTTCTCCTTGGCATTCAGCCATTCTGGCTGTTTGCTAAGCAGCCTCACGAGACAGTTCCACAGGTTCCCGGTGCTCAGCTGGAGACTAGCGTGGTCCATGAGGAGTTGGCTCTGTGTGGACAGAGTAGGCAAGAAAGCTGGAAGGCAGGTGAGTTGGGTGAGGACAGGGCAGACAGGTGAACTGGGAAATAGGTGAGCTGGGGGTCACGTGAGCTGGGGGACAGGTGAGCGAGGAGGGTAGCCAAAGGGAAGTCAAGAACAAGCCCCTACATTTGATGGGCAGAAAATAGGCAGATAAGTGGCCTCTCCATGGAGTCTCAATGCCTCTGTCCAGGGATTGATCCCAGGATGAGTCTGCTTCTTCCACACACCCATTCCTTATCTGTGCCTGTGTTCTGACTCTGGAATGGTCTAGTCCACTCTTTTATGGTTCCCTGAGGATACTTTATTCATTCTTATTCCCATAGACTCATTTGTGCTGCTCCCAGCCTGAGCTAATCTCATGACAGAAAACAACTGGTCCCCCAAATCTGTTCTTCCCTTCTTCCTTTGTACTAGAATTCCTGAATATTCCCTGTTCACCTGGAATAAAGACTATATTTCTCAGCCTCCTTTTCAGTTAGATGTAGCCATGTAATAAGTTTTAGCCAATGGGATCTTAAGTGGAAATGTTGTACGTCCTTTGTTTCTTCTTATTGGCTGGATGTTGATATGATGGTTGGACTTGAGCAGCTATGATGGACCATGAGGTAGAAGCCTGTGCTGAGGAAGGTGGAAAGTAAAGCAGTCTACTTGCCCTGGACTCTCTGCCTTTGGATTTCTGTTATATGAAAGGAAAATACACTTTAATCTTGTTTAAATCACTGTTGTTTAGGACTTTCTGTTACAGTGAAATCTAATCCTAGCTAATACAAACCATCTCCTCAATCTCTCTAAATAAATTCTTCCCCTTCTAAGCTGGAATTCTCAAACAACTTGCTGGTGGGAGTACAAATAAATGGCAAGGGGCACTTACACAGCAAGAGGGCTGAAAAATGTGCAGGCCCACAATTTGTACAAGGAAAGGTCATGGAAGCTCCATAGACACATCCAAACTCCCTGAGGGACTGAATTGCTGGGAGGAGGGCTGTGGGGACCATGGTCCCGGGGAACATCTAGCTCAATTGGCATAACCAGTTTATAAAGACAATGTTCTACATTCTACCTTGGTGAGTAGCGTCTGGGGTCTTAAAAGCCTGTAAGCAGCCATCTAAGATACTCCACTGGTCTCACCTCTTCGGGAGCAAGGGAGAATGAAGAGAACAGGATACAAGGAAAAGATTAGTCCGAAGGACTAATGGACCACAGCTACCAAGGTCTCCAC